TGCGCCGCTACAAGGACCTGCAGCAGCAGCAGCTGCGACTACAGCAGCAGCAGCAGGAGCAGGACCAGGATCAAGACAGCGATCAGCAACCGCAGCGGCACGAGCAGGGAGCACCAGTGGCGGCCGCTGCCTCCTCCGTCCCGGACCTCAAATCCCTCATGGCGCAGGGCCGTGCAGCCGCTACCAGCGGCGGCGCCCCCACCGCCTTCGAGTACGACATGCCGTTGTACGACAGCCTCGACCGCGCTCAGGCGGCGGCCGCGGCCGCGGCGGCGGCAGCCGCCGCCGGCGAGCCCTCGCCTGCGCTTCTGCCTCCGACGGGTTCCGGTTCCGCGGGTGCTGGCCACCTGACCCCCGCCACCTCGCTCATGGTGCACCGGGGGAGCGTGGAGGCCCCCCGCAGCGGCAGCCATGCGCTGGCAGCGGGGACCGGAGGGGGAGGTGGAGGGGCAGGAGGAGGAGAAGCCGATGCGGGAGGAGGAGGAGGAGGAGGCAGGAGCGGTGCGGCGCTGTCCAAGCTCGGATCCCCAGGCCCGACGGGTGGCGGCCGTCGAGCGCAGCTGCCCTCGGCAGGTGGCGGCGGCGGCAATGGCGGCGGCGCCGGCTCTGTTTCCGCCTCCGCCGGCTCGCCGGCACTGCTGCCCGCGACGCCTCGATCGTCGTCGCAAGTCAGCCTCAGCGGCGGCGGCGGCGAGCGTCACGCCGTCGCATTGGACATCAAAGACGATGACGCCGTACGACGACGTTCGTCACCCTCGCCGCAGCCGCCGCCAGCAGGCTCATCGCAACAACAGCCGCCGCGGCGTCGCGGGATCCTCCGAAACAGCGACGCCCCGCCCAACCCCCTCCCCACCACCACTCCTCCGCCCGCCTCCGCCGCCACTGCCTCCGTCTCCTCCACTGCCGTACACGACCTCGCCGCCGCCGCCGAAAAGGCCGCTGCCGAGGCCTCCGTCTGGGCCGCCAAGCGGGAGAAGCAGCTCCGACCGGCTGGGTGGTTCCGTCAGGTTCAGGTGCTGACGTGGCGCGAGCTGCTGTCAATGACGCGGAACCCTGCTGACGTGGCAGGTCGCATGTTGATCTTCACCTGGGTGGCGGTGGTGGTGGGGCTCATCTTCTACAGCCTGGGACTGTACTTTGAATCCATCAGGTGCGGGGATGCGGGGGGAGCGGGGGGAGCGGTGGAGTGGGTCGGGTGTCCACGTGTGTGTTTGGTGTGCTGAGTGCGGAATGTGGAGTGGGGTGTTGCTTGCTGCGGGAGGCAGATGTGAGCCTTTCGCGTTTGCAGCTCATCATCCCTGTAGTCAGATCGTACATGTGCGATCACAGCGCCCCATACCCACACCGCCAGCACTCCCAAACCCTCCCTCACCTTGCCTCCCTCACCTTGCCTCCCTCATCGCCCCCGCGTGTAGTGTGGCACCCTGCCGCCTCCTATCCCCATTGCTTTGCCTTAACCCGTGGCTTCCTGTTATGGTATGGTCTTTGGCCCCCCCTATGGTATGGTATGGTCTTGACCCCCCCTCTCCCCCCCCCCCCAGGTCCCGGCTGGATGTGATGTTCATCGAGACATGCGTGCTGCTGCTGCTGCCGTACGTCTACATGTCGCTGTACACCGCAGACAAGCAGTATTACATGGCGGACCTGGGCGCCAAGCTGTACAGCCCCTCGGCTTACTACATGGCCAAGGTAAGGGGGGGGGAGGGGTAAAGAGGAAACATCTAACGGACCGTGTGATAAGGCATCATCATGGTTTGCAACATGTGAGCCAGCCCGACCCGCCCAGCCCGAATTAGCCAAGCCAGTACGTGTAAGGTAGGGGGGGGAGCGAGAAAGTACCGTGGTGTGGTATGGTGCCGTACGGCATTAGGAGAGGAAAGTCTTTCTGGATAGGGTACCGGTATCGGTATACTGCATGCGTTGCCAAGGCTGGTTGTTATCTAGCCCACACATGCGGGTGTAGTGACTCCCCTGCTTGGTGGTCTAGCGGTGTGGAAAAACCGGCCAATCCCGCCCGCCCCCGCCCCACCCCCGCCCCGCCCGCCCCCTCCCCAGGTCCTCGCCGTGCTGCCCTTCTCCGTGCTGTCCATGCTGGTCTTCTCATTCACCATATACGGCATGTCGGGGCTGAGGCACAGCGGTACGGCACTCGCCAAGCACGGCCTCATGGCGACACTGTCGTACCTCATCGCGTCACAGGTACGGAAAACGGTTATACCGGTACCGTTGGGGGGTGTCGTACATGGGGAGAACCGGGGCGAGCCGGGACGAGATGGGGTATATGCGCCTTTGCTTTTCTCTCAACCAGCCGAGGCGGCGGCGACCTACGCTGCAGTACCACCATCCTGGCTCTCCCTCCTCTGGCACGCACCTCCCATAACCCGACTTGCCCCCTTCCCCCGCCCCGCTCTCATCCTCCTCCTCCTTCCCTCCGGACAGGTGCTGTACGCCTCCGCAGTGGCCACCCCCAACCAGGACACCGCCTTCATGGTGGCAATCGCCTGGACTGCCGTCAACATCCTCATGTCCAACTACCTGGGTACGACTGGGGGCGGACGAGTACGACAGGATAGGACTGCATAGGGCTGGGTTACGATTGGGGCAGGATTGGGGTGCTACACATGCGCAGGGCGGGGCCGTGGGGGAGCGGTTTGGTGGTGGTGGTGGTGGTGGTGCAGGTCTGCCCCTTCTTCCCTCTCCTCTCCTCACGCCTCCCCCCACACACACACACACCGCTCCGCTCGTTAGTTTCCTTACTCCCCCCCCCCCGCTTCCCCCTCCCCCGTGCAGTCCAGTACAAGGACATGGACCAGCGCTGGCTATCCACCGCGTTGCGCTGGTTCAGTGTCATGATGTGGTCCTTCCAGGGCATGGCAGGTAGCTGGGAGGGGTGGGATGGGGGGGTGGGATGGGGGGGTGGGATGGGGGGGTGGGATGGGGGGCAGGAGGAGCCCCAAGGGAGGAGGCGGAGGGTGGCCAGGTGGCCGGGGGACATGGGGCATAACCAGGTGGCAGGGGGGCACATGGGCCCCCCTCCATAGCCATGTTGCTTAACCCTGCCACCCTACTACCCTTCCCCAACCCCTCCTCAGCCTCCCTGTCCCCGCTACCTCCTCCATCTTCCTCAACCCTCCCCCCCTCCCCCCCCCCTCCTCCCCCCCCCCCCCGCAGCCGCCGAGTTCCGCGACCAGTCCTACAGCTGCTCCTCCGGCTTCGGCACCCCCGTGCTGTCCGCGCTGCCCTCCTACCTCCCCGGCAACCCCGCACTGCACCCCGTCAACTACCTGCAGCAGCTGCTGGGCGACCCGGGGGGCGATTGCCAGGTGGACACCAACCAGCTGCTGGACTACTTTGGCATGCAGCAACCCTTCTGGCGGCTGGCGGCCATCCTGGGGGGATACCTGGGGGTGCTGCACTGCATCACGTATGCGGCGCTGAGGCTGACGGCGGGCAAGGAGCGGAGATGAGGGGGGCGGGGGGGGGGAATGAAGATGAGGAGGGGGGAAGAGCGAAGATGTGGAGGGGGGAGGAGGAGGGCGGGGAAAGAGGGCGGGGAGGAAGAGGGCAGGGGACGGGAAGAAGGCTGGGGAAGGGAAGAGCCGTGTAGGTCGCAGAGGGCGGGGAAAGGGAGGTAAAGAAACAACTAACTGACTGAGGGATAAGGCGGGGGAAGGGAGGGGTTGTGTTATGGGCGAGGAAGGAGGGGTAGGAGGGGCCGTGGTAGGAAAGGGGGCCAAGGGGCGGAGTGGGGAATGGGAGGTGGCCGCTTGGCGGGGAGCGGAGGGCAGGGGAAGGGAGAGAGGTGTGAGGGGTAGGGGCCCCATAGACGACCCTAGCCACTTGTAGCAGTTGAGGAGCTGAGGAGGGATGTGGTAAGGCGAGGGAGGGCGACAGGAGCGGGAGGCGGGAGTTGTGATGGGAATAGCCAGGGGTGCCAGGGCAGCATTTGTTGCTTGCAATTGTTGAACGCGTTGTTGTCGTACAAGCAAGGGGAACGAAAAGCGTTGCGGCGAGAGGGGGTCCCAAGGGTTATGCATGGACAGGGAGGGCTGCAGCGGGGGTCGCTCTATCGTGTGTTTTCGTAACCGCGTGTGTGTGTGTGACCCTCCTGCCGTAACGAGCCATGCGCATGTGAGAGTGTGCGGGTTGTTTGTACGGGTACCGATGTTGAGCTCCGTACGACTGGAGAAGAACCGCTAGGGCTGAAGCATGTCGTGAGGGAAGGAAAGGAAAGGGGGGTATACCTTGTCGTCTGACCTGTGCCAAGGGGTTAGTATGGTTTGCATTGCTCGACGCACAGGGCACGTTGCAGCTGGCAGGGGAGATACCGGTAGGAGTGGCTGGGGGGATGGTAGCACAGTCCGACTGGATTACCAGGGCACAACGACTGGCGGTGATTGGAGGGTGCCGAGGGTTGACTCAGCAAGCCGTTGACTTAACTCACCGTTGGATGGACCACGCGTTCGCTGTTCTTGGAAGTCCTTTCTAATAACCACACCCTGTTGAAATCCTTATCCTAAACCGAGGCGACGGGAGGGTTACCATGCGTCTCTTGTAATACCTAATCGTACCTGCCTACCTGGTCTGGGCATTGTCTGGGTGTACCGGGGCTGCAGGTGTGGGGGTGCGCTGATGCACGTCAGGGAGCACGGCAGGAGAATGGCGGGGCAGGAACAAGGACATGTAACGTCACGGGAAGCCACACGCACGTAAGGTTTCAGGCTGCATGCTTCAAGAAATGCTTGTGTGGAACACATGGACAGCAATGCAAGGGGCTTACAATGAGCCTGGGCTGGGTCACGGAAGGGCGGCTCGGCAAGGTAGCGTAAAGAAGATGAATTGTAGGACAGCGGCGTGCCTGTATGCTGCCTTGCGGTGTGCGAGCTCAACACCCATGGAGCGCAGCGCTCGACGTAAGCTACTGTGATTGCGCTGCCGTACAAGTGGTGTACGTACACTGCCGCGGCCCGGGGGTACGAACGATATAATATTTATTGCGGATCAAATGGAAAGCTGCATTCAGCTTCTTAGTAAGGACTAGGACGCATGTAGCCGTGCAAACTTGGTAGGGGAACTTACAATCTGAAAACGTTGGCTGTTGTTTGCTGACAAATACAAGCGAGTACGCTCTTACGATTAGGGCTTTTGGTTGATCATTAAGGTAAACAAAAGCTCCGTGTTGCTAGCCTTCTGAAGGAATTTCTCCATCCCTTCCCAACATGCTTTAACTCTTGCGCATTGCTCGGGGTAGCGCCACATTGTTTCGCTTCTATTACGACAGTAGGGTGTTATTTATATAGTGCATCTGCGCGAGCAGCAACTGCCCTTCCCTACTGCGCTCACAAGCCATGAGCGGCTCTGGCGCTCAGGGCGCCGCGTCAGCCGCTGGAAGTGGCGTGGGAGGAAATGGAGGTGGATCAACCAGTAGCGGCAGCAAGGTCGATGCAATTTGGCAACAGCTAAAGGGCGCGCATGCCGCGCCCAAGGCGCAAGCAGTCAACTTCAACAAGCTATGGCACGGCTTCAGCAGCGATCCTATGCAGGGCACGAAAAGGCCCGCCGCTAAGCCCCCACAGCCACCATCCACCTACGAGTCTCAACTCGTGCAGCGCTCCAGCCGCGGCCCGGCGGACGCACACCCTTCACAGCAGCAACAACAACAGCAGCCCGCGGCTGTCAGATCCAAACCGGATCCAGAAACCGCTTTACAGCTGGTGGCCCGTTGCGTGGCGGGGCTGAAGGACAGCTCCCAGAGCGCCCGCCGCAAGGCGCTCCAGGACGTGCAGGTGTGTGCGCGGGCCTGGTGTGTGCGGGGGCCCGGGGGCGGCACACCAAGGGCAGGGGCCCATTAGCTATGACTAGCAGTGATCTCTTAGGGCCGCTGCCGCTGCCTGGCGTCCCTCTGACGGCGACCGACCTCACTCTTACCTAAACCTCCCAAGAAAACGCCGCGGACGTGGTAAAGCACATGTGCCCCCCGCCTCACGCCTCTCCCCCTCCCTAGTCCCACCTCCTAGACAACCCCTCCCTGGACGAGTCCTGGCTGGCCTCCCGGCTGGAGGGCGACGGGCTGGGTAAGGCCCTGCTGCGCCGCTTCGACGACCCCGCCGACTCCTGCCGCGAAGCCGCCGTGAGCAGCCTGCTGCGCCTGCTGAGCGCGGCGCCAGGGGCGGTGCTGGCGCTGCTGCCGTACGCGTTTCCCGTACTGGCGGAGCGGGTGCGGCACAGGGAGGAGGGAAGCAAGGTGCGCCCAGGCGGGGGGGAGGGGACGGGAGGAAGGTGGAAGAAACAGAAGGGGCCTCCAGGGGGCCTCGTCCATCGTCCCCCTTTTGCCTCTCTGTCTCTCTCTTACGGCCCCAAAACATCGCACTAACTTCGCGCTCCCCGGCTCTCTAGCCATGCTGACAGTCCCAACCCGTCCCTCCTCCGCAACCCCCTCACCCCCTCACCCTCCTCCACCCGCCTGCTCCCTCCCTCCAGAACCTCACCGAGCCGTGTGAGGAGGTGCGGCTGGCTCTCGCCCGGCTGCTGCGGTCGCTGGTGGTGCTGGGCGGCAAGGGCTTCGCGGGGTACGCGGGCGAGGCGGTGGAGCTGGTGGGGGCACTGGCGGAGGACCCCTTCCACGAGGTGCAGGAGGAGGCGTGCGGGGTGGTGGGCGCCATGAACGGTGAGGGGGGAGGGGCAGGGGGGAGAAGAGGAGGGACAGGAGAGCAGAGGAGCAAAGCGGGCGACCGTTTCGGCGACAGAGTGTGCCCACGACCCCAGATGGCCCAACGGAAGTGCGCGTGCGTTTCTTCTGCCGGATGGACCCTTCCCTTTCCGTTGCCTCCCACCTCTTCACACCACCCTCTGCCACGCCTGCCTGGTCCCTGCCCCTGCCGCCCCTCCCCCTCCATCCCTCCCTCCCCGCCTGCAGAGGTGTTGGGCATGCGCCTGCAGCCCGTGGCAAAGCAGCTGGTGGCGGCGCTGCTGCCGCTCACCACCGCCAAGCGGCACCGGGTGCGGGTGGCGGCGCTGCAGGCGCTGCGGCCCACCATGCACCAGGTGGGGGGGGGCAGGGCGCAAGGAGGTATTGGAGGGCAGGGCGCAAGGGGGTAGTGGAGGGTAGGGCGCAAGGAGGTATTGGATCGGGTGAGGAGGATGCTGCTACATCGGTTGGGTGGGCTGTGGGCGGATGTGGTCGCAGCTGGGGCCTTACGTGGCACGCCGGGTAGAGGTGGCTAGGCCATATCTCTCATCACGTCATCCGCAGTCCGGCGTTGTTGCCACAGCGGGCTCTTGCTTCCTGCTGTGCGCTGTGGGGGGGGCACGCATGGGCTGCCGTACACTGCGGCTGGCTGCACTCCAGCATGGGAGCAGTAGTGCGGTACGGTATGCGGCAGTACGCCTCCTCAAGGCCCTCACTCGCCTCACCATAACTTCCCCACGTGCCGCATACCGGTATGTGCGTCCACATGCAGGGCGCTCACGAAATGATTCTTGAGATGGTGGCATGGCGCGACCCCAACGTCATTCCCATTAAGGCCTTCTACGGGGACGACCTCAAGGTGGGCGGCTGGGTGGCCGGCTGGGTACCACAGCAGCAGCGCGCATGAGTTGTGTGTGCCTCTCATAGCAATCGACGTGTTAAGACGTGTTAGCAGTTGACGTGTATGCGCGCGTCTTGCCCTACCGCTTCACGCCCCCGCACGCGCACTACTACTACTACTACTACCACTGCTGCTGCTAGGCCATGCGGGCACACTCGTGCCCTCACGTCATGCGCCCCGCACTCCACACTGCGGCACCCTCCCGACCTTGCAGCCCTCACCCACGCCCCGAGAACTGCGCGCGCCCTCCCCGCTTCCCTCCTCTCTCCTCCTCTCCTCCCCCTCCCCCTTTCAGTGTTTCCGCGGCTCAGTTTACCCAATTCTCCCCCTCTTTCCCCCCTCCCGCAGGTCAACTTCTGCGGCAAGCTGGCTGCCGACCCCCACCCCGCGGTGCGGCGGGAGTTCCTGGCGGTGCTGGCGGACTGGATGACGGGGCTGCGGGAGCGGCTGGACCACGAGGCGCGCCTGCTGCCGTACGTGCTCAGCGCGCTGAATGACGAGTCGCCGGAGATACAGGTACCGTGTGGAGGCGTGTGGCTCTCTCTCCAGTGGCCTTGTTACGACTCCCGCTGCTGCTGCTGCCTCCTGCTGCTGCCCATGCCCTCTCCTGCCCCTTCCTACGACATGCACGGCCCCTTCCGAGTAACCCCATACGGTGCACATCACCTCCCCAGTTTCACCCCTCCCTCCCTCTCCCCCTCCCTTCCCTCCTCCCAGTCTGACGCGGTGTCGCTGCTGGAGCGGCTGGGTGCGCAGTACGAGTCCGACCACGAGAAGGAGCTGAAGGACACGCTGGCCTACCTGCCGGCGGAGGCGCACGGCATCGGCTGGCAGGCGGCGGGGGCGGCGGGGTACGTGTACGGCAGCGCGGCGGCGGGCGAGGAGACGGTGAACGGTGAGGGGGACTGTACAACGGACCCCCGCCCGTCCCTCGCGGTAGATGTAGGGGGGGCGTGTGGCGGCATGGGGCGCAGTCTCCGGTGTCCTCATGGCGTTGTAGGTCACACGCGGTGGCGTGCAGTGTGTCTTTTGTCGGGTATTGCGGCACGCCACTCTCACGCCCCGCGCTCGCATGGCTGCATGGCCATGTGTTCGACAGGGCTTCCGGCGGCTCCTCAATTACTCCCAGCTAAAGCCCTCTCCCTGCAAACCCACCTCTGCGACCCCTCCCCTCCTTCCCCCCAGGCGGTCGCGCTGTGTTCGTGCTGCCCGGCCCGCTGCGCTGCCGCCCGCGCCTGGGCACCCGCCGCCTGGTGCAAACCAACTTCAGCCGCATCATCGGCGCGCTGAGCGAGGAGGTCACCTCCTGGCTGCTGGAGGCGCGGCGGCGGGCGGCGGCGCTGCTGCGCACTCAGCTGCTGCTGGTGGAGGAGTGGAGCGAGCAGCACCTGCACCTCATCATGCCGGCGCTGTGCAAGGTGGGGTGGGGGGAGGGGGGACTATACTGGAAGTATGCCGGTAATAGAAGTAAAGAGGAGAGGTAAGGGAGGCGGGGTAATGAGTCTAATGACTATGGTGGAAAGCGAAGGGGAGGACGGCGCAGGGGCAAGGGAGCAGGGGGTCCGGAAGCGTTTGGGTGTCACCGGACGGGGGCTGCGGATGGGTCAGACGGCGGGAGAGCTTTCACTGTCTGCCCGCGCCGAGGGCATGCACTACTATCTACCGGTGTACTCATCGTGCTGCTGCAGGCGCTCGTCGGTCGGCTTCGACGGCTTACCTCCCTACAACCACCCCTTACCTCTGAACACCACCCCTTACCTCCCTACACAGCCCCTTACCTTTTATCACCGCCCGCCCGCTCCCTCCCTCCCACCTCCCCACAGGCCATCTCCGACCCCGAGGTCCGCCCTGTCATCCGCGACTGCTGCTCGCTGCTGGGAGCCTTCACGGACCCCGAGGTGGCGCTGCAGCTGCTGGCGACCCGTGGGTCGGACGAGGCGGCGGACGCGGCGCAGCGGGCGGCGGCGCTGGAGGTGCTGGGCTGCGTGATCAGGTGGGAGGGGGGGGGGGTAAAATGAGAGGAAACTGACGAGCTGTATGACGAGGCTTTACCATGGTTGCTAGCTTGCTACATCGGGGGGTGGTGCTGAGAGACGAGGAGACGGCAGACAATCGCGTGGCGACCTGTCGTGGGGCTCGTGGCCTTGTGCCTGCTGCTATTATCACCATGGGAGGAAGAGGATGCAGGAAAGGGTGCAGGAAACTGTACAGTTGTAAGTACTCGGGCGTACCGGTATACGCTAGGCGCCTGGGCCCCTACATTGCCATGCACCCCTCCCACCACCACCACTCACATGTTGCAAACCATGATGGAGCCTCATCACACGGTTCGTTAGTCATTTCCTCTTTACCACCACCACTCCCCCTCTTCCACGCCAGGGGCGCCGGCCCGCGTCGCGCGCTGGACGCCCACCTGCCCTCCGTGCTGCAGCTGCTGAGCGGGGAGTCGCTGCTGACGAGCGAGGACTCGCGCATACGCAGGTTGGATGCATACGCTGGGAGGGTTGGATGGGCGCTGGGAGGGTTCAGGGTCGGGTACTTGGGGTACTTGGGTTGGTGTGAGGGGGCGGGACCGTGAAGGGTTTTGGGAGGCCCGTGCAGAGGCCGCGCATGAGGGAGGCCGCTGCCCTAGGACCGTGTGATCAGGCTGTGCTTCAACAGGCGTGTGTCCGTCAGCATGGCTGCTTCCCTGGGTGCCATGCTCTCCCAACTGCAGGCCGCTCACTCATACGGCCAAAACCCAACCCCCTCCCTCCCGCACCCCTTTTGCTCCCCCCTTGCCCTCCCCTCCCTACCTCCCCTCCCTCTTTCACCCCCCCCCCACAGGTCGCTCCAGGAGGTGGTGCAGCAGCTGCTGGCCACCTGCGGCCCCGCATGCGGCCGCCACGCCGCGCAACTGCTCTGGGTGTGCCTGCACCTGCGCTCGCCCGGCAGGGCAGCTCCCAACGGCAGCAGCAGCAGCGGGCTCATGCAGCCGGCTGCGGCTGCTGCTGCCGCCTTCACCGCAACCTCAGCGCCAACAGCAGCAGCAGCCACTGCGTCTCTTGAGGGGTCGGTTGCGGGCGGTGACGCGGCGGGTGGTGTGGTGGAGGGGTGTCTGCTCCCCCGACTGGCGGAGGTGTGCGGCTGCAGCGGGGGGCCGGACGAGCTGCTGGAGGCGCACCGGAGGGAGCTGCTGGGACAGGTGGGTGGGGGGAGGGGAGGGGAAAATTAAACAAGTGAAACAGCGAGTCCCAATCAGGAGAGGGAGGGGATGGAGGGCCGGCAGCGGTGACAGGAGTAACGAATAAGGGACGGGATGTTGGAAAGAGAGGTGCCGCGATGCGCAGTATGTCCTTTCTGCCCAGTTCTGCCTAACCCCTTCCCCCACCCACTTCCTGCCTTCCCCCCGCAATCCCCCGCAGTCCGACCCCGGCGCCTCCCCCAACGTGCTGCTGGCCACGGGGGTCGCCTGCCGCCTCATGCTGCCGTACAGCGCCCAGTCGCACCTGCTGTACCTGCCGGAGGAGGCGCTGGGGAGGGTGCTGCCGGCGCCGCCTGCCGTACCAACACCTTCACCCGCACCAACATCACAAGCAGACGCTCGGGCTGAGGCTGATGATGAGGCTGGTGGTGATGGCAGCATGGCGTCGGCGCCTATGGACGTGGATACGACAGCCGCTGCCTCGCAACAACAGCCGCAGCAACCGCAGCAGTACTGGCAGGCGAGCAGTACGGTGGCGGTGTTGTCGCACCTGCGGGGGCAGCTGGGCTGGCTGCCGCGGCAGTCCCGCTGCGCCACGCTGTTCTTCACGTGCCTGGAGGCCTGCCTAGCCACCGTGCCGCCACCGCAGCAGCAGCAGCAGCAAGCCCAGCACCAGCAGCAAGCACCCTCAGGCACCTCAGGCACCTTCAGCCAGCAGGATGTTGAGCTTCCGGACGCTGACACGACATCGGCCTCCGCAGCAGCCGGCACAAGCGCGACTAGCGAGGTCGGGGAGCTGCTGGAGGCGGTGCTGAGTCAGGCGCTAGCGGCATGTCAGGAGCTGCCCCCACCAGCGCTGCTAGCGGCGCTGCGTTGCATGCATGCAGCCGTACGGCGGGGGCTGCTGCCGGGTGCCGTACTTGTCGTACATTTGGAGGAGCTGGTGCAGCGGCTGGCGGCATGCATGGCGGTGGTCAGCGGCGCGCCGTGCCGTCTGCAGGCCTGCTACGTGCTGCAGATGCTGCTGCGGAACGGCGCTGTGGCCCAGGCTGTTACCGGTGCAGGGGTAGGGGTAGAAGGGGGCAGCAGCCATGGCAGTGGCGGCGCCGTCGGCGCTGCGTTGCAGGGCGTGTGCACGGCAGTCTCCTCCCGGCTGTATGATGCGGCGGATGAGGTTCGTTGCGCGGCGTTGGGGCTAGCTCGAGAGGTAGTGGAGCTGGTCGTGGGGGCAGGTAGTCGGGTGTCAGTGACGGACAGCAACAGCAGCAGTACAAGCAGTAATGGTACAGCGGCAGCACGGCTGGTAGCGGAGATTGCGCAGTTGCGGGATGTGTTGCCTGGGAGCGCGTTTTACGAGGAGTACCATGCGTTCCGTGCTTGGGCGAGTGGCCGCGTGCCAGCGGCGTGGCTTGGAGCGGGGGGCTCGGCTTGAGGCCGTGGTTGAGGTTTGGCAGCTGTCAAAGTAACCGCCTATGTTCCCGTGCTACGGACTGATCGAGCCTGTAAAATCCATCCCGCAAAAGCACGCCTTCACCTCTACCACATCCCACGACAGCGCCTCATCCGTCTCCAGTGTGTCAATGCCAGCAACGCGATACCCGTGCGTCGCCACGTCATAAGAAAGATAAAAAATGTAACCTAGAGATACCGGTAGAGAAAGGACGCCATGCATCGGCGGCACACAAGGGCGCTGTCTTGCACAGCCTCCTCCAGGTGAATTAGAGCTACACAAGCGCTGGGACACACATGCGCACAGCCTCGACACCCACGCTGAAGGGGGCCTTAAGAAGAATGACAAATCAAAATCACCGCATGCTTCTAACCTGCAGGTCGAAATCTGTCCCAAACTGTCGCAAGGGGTAATCATAGCAAAACAAACGTGGGGCATCATTAAGTTTCACCCTGCTGCATGCAGAAGCCGTACAAACACCTCCCTGCCTAAAGGGACATGTATAATCAATGCCCATACATAAGTCGATAAGTGCCCTGTTATTAGTCTTTACTCGCCCTTTCCAGGGGGGCATCTCAGGGCCCCCGGGCATCCATCAGACGGTCACTCAGTCGTGTAGCGGACTCTACTCGCCAAACCTCACCATTGCAGGAATCCATATGTACAGTTACCTCGCTCTTACGTACAGCGGAACACAGAACCCATGCCGCTTGGAAGGCATACACAGTGTATGGGGCTAAAGCACATGAACACATCTTAGGTCGCGGAAGAGCCCCATCACTTCACACCATCCACACATTGCTTCTCGTATGTAAATACCATGCATGCATGCACCCCACCCCTGCCTGACCACCTGCCTGCTGCTCGTCATGTCTGGCCGGGGCCACAGCCACTGGCACCTTCGTAGTACGCAGCACCTGGAACAAAGAAGCGCGTCCTTCTCCCCCCATCAGGCGCATTCAGCTGCTTTTGCAGGCGCGGCGGGCGTCTTGATCTCCGGGGCAGTCTTATTGGTGCCGCCCGACACGTTGATCTTGACGCACACGCCCGCCGGACCCAAACCGATGAATACGATGAGCAGCATTAGAGCTATGGAGCAGATGATGAAGCCCGCGGTCGCTGCATCGGCTGCGGCGGGGTAGAGAGATGCAGCGGTGAAGAGCAAGGGTTACACAGACTTGTAAGGGAGGCGTACGGCCAGCGCTTGGGGTGTACGGCAGGTAGGGCCCTCCGCTCGCAGCAACCCACATCAGCAACGAGGCTTGTACGACCTGGTTGCAATGCGCCTCGCATACCGGTACGACGCTCAACCTCCAGTAGTACTAGCTCTTTGGTTTGACCACAGATCACACAAAAGGCACGGTGCCTACATACCTGCTGACTTGTAGTCGCTGCCAGAAGATGACCCATCGCCGATGCCAATCCAGTTGCTGTACGGCAAATTCATGAGCGTCAGCAGCAGCTTCGAAACACAATTTCCCGAGGAGATTGGCCAGCAGATTCTTACCTTGCGTCGATCATCGTGACGGAAAGACATGCTGCACAAAAGGCCTGCCGGTTTGTGATGGATACGAAGGCATGGGGTTTATAGGCGGGCATGAAGGAAAGGCTTGACACCGACGCCACGAGAAGGGGTGACGTACCTGCAAGGTGCTAACCCAGCTATCCATGATTCCCATTACCGCCATGACCAGGATAACGATGATCAGGAAGAAGGTGAACCAGACTCCCCACTGCGAAACACACCAAGTGTGGATGAGAAGAGGCCGCCTCGGCATGGTGAACAGTCTATGAGTGGTACTCTTACCCAGTCATAGCGGAGGCCATTCGAGCAATGGGTAGTTCTGTGGTTGTATGTTGCGTCGTTGCACAAGTCATTTGCCTGCATCCGTGGAGGGGCTGGTATTAGGCAAACGCTGGGGCATAAAGCCGTCGGCATAGGACATAGGCAGGAGGAGCTCTTAATTCCTACGCTCTAGTGGATATCTGTGCAGGCTGAACTCATAACCAGGTCATATCACTCACCCTTGCAACTCCAGCTAGCGCAACAACCCAGCCGATGAGTGCAAGAACCAAAGCAGCGATGATAAGGACTCTGTTTGTGATGCTAGCCATTTCCTCGTGACGAGGAAGTGTCCTTTAAAGAGAGCGATGGAGGTCGATGTATCGGTAGTAAACGGTCCTAAGGATTAACACAATTTGGCGTAAAACATCAGCAGTCAGGTAAAGTAATAAGTAAGAGCAACACGTTGTAAGGGGCACAGAGAATGAAGACCACGCGAAGTCAGCAAAGGAAACTGCAGGCCGTGAGGTATGAATTATACTATCAACAGTGCAAAGCTATGAGGTGCTGAATGCCTAAACAGTTACCGCCTATCGATGAGGCTGGGCCCCACTGTGCCGTTAATAGTGCTTTAGTAAGTACATGTCAGTACAGCCGTTGTACACTGCAAGTACGCGCAAAAATCATGCAGGGGAGCCGTCGGTTCGTTCAAGCCTTAGAACACCTCCACACCTCATTTAAGGCAGGAGGTTTCCTTTATCCCCGTGTAATGATAAAAGCAAGTATAAAGCCCTGCCCAAACCTGTAAAGACACAGGTACACGGAATAGCCCTACAGTGGCAATGGTCCCCAAAAGGTTGGTGTGCAAGCAGGGTGCAAGATTGGCTTTCCATGAGGATGGTCGGCGGCACAAGGCTGTGAAGAACACACGCCACGAGGCTTCCCCGAACAGCGTGAGCCCTCCCTGGCGCCGGGTTTGCCCTCAGCCACCAGTGGAGGTTATAGGCAAGGTACCGATAATGGGCAGCTGATTTTTAACCCAGGGACACGCACTGTCCCGTCGGGTCACGAGCCTTTCCAAGGGGGGCCAGAAGTAGCTCATCTAGGTTTCTATATAGGCCTATATTAAGTACAGGCCTGTACTGAATATAGGACTTGCAGGTTAACTGTGAAGAGGAGGGGCGGTGGCTACCATCTCGTCCATTCCGTTTGTCATGCGCGTTGACTTTCGCCTTAATGCATGGCGTTCCTTTGTCAACCATAATCCACAATACACTCTAATTCTGTTATTTCCCACTCCCTTCCTGTCCTTCCAAATTCTTTGGTCAAAGAACTGCACCATTCAAAGGAACCAGCTACACGCCTTAGTGAAAAAGAGTTAATTTACTCTTTACAGTTGTTGGCATAAAGACGGCTACACCTTGCGTAGACTAGGACTAAGACTTAGCGCCTAGAAGTGTACAACCAGCGGAGGGCGCTATCAAAGCTGCAGGCGCCCTACACTCCTTTTAGTACGTCTCTATTGGCCATACTGTCAACACACGACAGTCGACCTAGAAGTCTATCATACTTGTGCTCATATGGAGGCGTTGACGGAACATGGCCTCGTGGCTGAAACAGCGAGCGGCACGTTTAGCTTTAAGAATAAGATCACATCAGCGTCGATCAAGACTCTGTGGGACAAACTATCGCGTTTCATCACAGGTATGGTTCTGGTCGTGCCTTCCACTTTTCCGGTCCCACCGGTCGGACATGCCTTGCCTGGCCCAACCAAAGGCCCCAACCCAGAAGGCTAAGCCTCTCCCTCCTACATCCCAGATGCCTTGAGGCAACAGAAGGGCGTCCTGGTGCCCAACCTGGGCACCTTCAGCGTTGGACCCGTCGTTGGAGAGGCCCGCAAGAAGGTCCGCCCAGCCTTCACTTTGCTGGAGACCCGTTATGCAGGGGTCTCACAGGAGCGCCCCAAGTACTCCTTAGGTCAGTAAACATACCTCACAAATGCAGGGTGACCTGCATGTGGGCACCTCATGTGGCGAGTTGCGTTAAGCGAAGTCCCTTGCTGACGCCAATTGCCACAACGCCTGTCAATTGTATGCGTGGCCTTATCTCTTGGCTTTCCTACCTCCTGACATTACTCTTAATATCATCACCGCCACGGTTTGCGCCTCGTACCCTCCTTCCTCTTGCGGACAGGCGGGCGCTGCCCGGTGCTGCAGCCCAACTACGGCCTGCTGGCCACCGCCTCAGCGGTGCACCGGGGCGCGTGTCAGCGGCTGGTTCTGGAGCTCATGCAGCGGCTGGGCGTCCACATCCTGTCGGGGCGGCCCATTTCGGTAAGAGCCCTTGGCGTCGTGGGAAGATGGCCGCAGCCGGGCGTGTGCATGGGCCCAGGGTGCACCCGCACATGCGCAAAAGCGCATAGGCGGGGTTAATAAGGGCCGCTGGGTGGCGGGGTGGATCGGCCGCTGATATACGTCACCACGGAAGCCATGCGACCCATGCATGCGACCATCTCCGTCCCCTTCCCGGGATGGATCTGGGTTGAATGCCCTGAGAGCGTGCGCGTGGCTGGCTGCAGGTGCTGTTCCCCGGCGTGGGACGGCTGTTCACCAACAAGGCGGGGCGCATCCAGTTCGAGTTCGACCAGCTGCTGCGGGAGTTCTTTGAGCTGGAGCGGGAGCGGGTCATCCCAGAGGTGAGGTCGCCGTACCCTGGCTGGGGAACAGGGCTGGGCTGGGCATGGTGGAGTTCCTTACCGTCCCGTTTGAGTACCTGCGCAGTGCTTTAAGCAGTGGTTGTCAGGCGCTTGCTAACTAAGCTGTGTGGCCCTCTTTACTCGGTACGCCGCCGCGGAGCAGATGCCGTACGAGGATGCGGCGGCCTCTGCAGAGGTGGTCCGGGCGCTGCAGCAGGTGCACCTGCACAACCCGCCAGCCATCAAGAGCAGGTAGGGGCTGGGCCCTGATGATGCGGAAGTGGGTTCCGGTTAGAGCCATGTGTGCATGGGTTGCTTGAGATGTAAACGACAGCAAAGACCCTTGTAACTGACGCTGGCTGTTTCGGCGCTCTCGCTGTTCCGTCGAGCCCCTGCCAGGCCGACCACGGGTGCTTCCTCCGCCGCTCCGCAAGCGTCTCCTCCCTCGCGGGTGAAACGTGCCGCGGGGGCGCCGTACTCGGGCGCGCTGCTGGACCTCTGGCGGCTGTGCAAGAGCAACGACAGGTGGGGTTCAGACCTTGCATGGTTGTAAGGTCGAGCACCTGGCATGCTGGATGAGACTTTAGGCCGCGGGGAACTGTAACTGAGGCTGGAGGGTGCTTCGGGATGGCGTGCTAGACACGGAGCCTAAAAACTGATGGCGCCCTGCTTGTCCCTGCAGGATCAACTCGGGCTGCGTGCCGCGCCTGCAGCTGGAGCAGTGGCTCTACAAGGAGTGCGCGGCGCTGCTGCGGCAGCTGGCGGCAGCAACCGTCCTGGAGCTCCTGGCCACCAACACATACGGTAAGCGGGAGCGTTCTGTCTTCGCCCGTGATATGGTACTTTTGCGATATCGCTTTATGGCCCACGTTTAACGTACTGCCTCGCTCGCAGGCAAGACGGGCAAGCACATCCTGTACAAACCCTTCCTGGACCAGATGGAGGCCGCCATCGGAGCCATGAGCCCGCGGGTGAGTTGCAAGGTGACGGGTCCTACGAAAGGGCAGGTCATGTGCCGTAAATCTTACCACCGATCACGTTTCGCCACTGCCATGCCATGCTTCTCTTTACGCGGGTTAAGCTGACAGACGCTGTAAACCGTAATGTGAATACGAAGCACAAAAGGTTCCATCCATGTTCGCCGACAGGAGCTCTCGCCGCGCCCCGTGCGGTCACCCCGGCCGGCTGTGGAGGACAGCCCCTCGCATGATGCCCAGGGGCGGGACCTCGAACTGCAGCTGGATGCGGCCTACCAGGAGCGGGACGTTGCAGAGGTGTGTGCTTGTGGGGGGGCGCAAAGGCTGCCGGGCGCAGCGGGGGCACCGGGCCTTGGGCTTGCCGTACGTCCCCATGCTGCAGGAAACCTGGCAATGCGTACGGCACACAGCGCAATGCGCGTGAGGATTGATATGTGCTTTTCCTGTCTTGCAGGTGACGCTTTCGCCCGTGGGCCAAGGGCACCACCCACCCCAGGCGCGCCACCCGCCTCCGCCCCTGACACTGCCGCAGACGCCAGGCGTGCCCACGCCGGCATGGCAGGAGCAGGCCCCGGAGGCTGCCGTGCCGCACCATTACTTCCAGAACCAGCTGTCGCCCCGCTCACGACGCGAGTACGACAACTTTAACCGGTTACACTTTGAGAAGCTCGAGCAGGTGAGCCACGCCGCTGCCGCATGTGACCGTTTGCAAGTACCTAGGTCCAGAACAGCCCTCATGCAGTACCGGTAACCGGGCCACATGCGTTACGCGACTGGTATCACATGAAAAGGCATACTGGCGCAGACTGGCGTCAACTGCCAACCGCTTTCCATTCCACGGTTGCCGGTCCCCATGCTTCAACGTACCGCCCCCATCTCTGTTCCCATCTGCCCTCAGGCACGCGGCCGCGACTACAAGCGCGCCGTGACGCCCAAGGTGGGGGAGGACCTGCTGAACCAGCGGGAGTACCTGGCCATCCGCCACACAGGGGATGCGGTCACACCGGCGTCGGTGCTGGGAGGAATGCAGGACGACCGACCCTACAGCCGTGACACGGGGAAGGTACGGGCAATGGCTGCCGCTTTCGTCCTGTGTTTGCTGCTTTGCTCATGCTCTTCGGCTACGTTGTAATGGTTTTTACTGGTATGGTAATCGGGCGATACCGGTAGTCAGCGTTTATATCCTCGCTTCTTCGCGCCTTGTGCAGGATGCTTCCTCGGCCCCGAGGCGGAGAGCATCTCCCGGGCCACGGCCCCAAATCCTCACCCTGGCACACGACACGCCGTCGCCCTCTCCCTCGCCGTACATCCCCGGTCTGCCCACACACTTCTACCAGCCACAGCAGCAGCAACAGCAATACGCCGGTACGCCCCAGCAACGACCGTCCTCTTCACGGCAGCCGACGCCATCCCAAGACGGGCCGTCGCCCATTTCGCAGTACGACATTATAAACGAGCTGGACCCCGTGCTGCGGCAGCGCAAGCGTAGCGAGCTTGCTCACGTCCTGCAGCGCAACTGGTCCGAACAGGTGAGGTGCTGACCTGGTGGATGCCGGTACCAGTTGCAGGGTCTGCAATGGGCTTACTAAGACCCATGTCGGGAGCGACTTGTTCCCAGGGCTTTACCTCATGTGGTTTGCGCTTGTAATGGCCCTTATGGACACGTGTTGGATCTTGGGTGGAGTGTGAAAACGTAATGCAAGTGTTTGCTTTCGTTGCTGCAGATACAAGAGAAGGAGCGGGTGCTGCAAGAAATTGCAGTTGCGGAGTCGCAGTGGCCGTACGTGCCTGTACGACACCCGAATGACAAGCGCCCGTCCAGCGCGGTCAGCCGGCAGATGTCTCGCGGCTCCAGGCTGGATTGACGCAACTCGTTTGGTTAGGGGGCTGCTAGGTTAGGGGTTATGCAGGGGTCCAACCTGCACGTCTCGGGACAACGAAGGCAAGCACACGAACGGCAAAGCCTACTCTCCATGACACCGTGTTGGTTAAGACGGTGCCGTCTGCACTTTTACTATGTTTGTCTCCTCTTGATAAGGGGAGAACTTCGTCCTTTGTTGACTGTTACAGGGACATGGGGTAGCGTCCCAGTATCGACCCACTGGTCCGGTAGTAGGTGAAGGCGGTGGCGGGCCCTATTGGATATATTGTACATACATTTGTGCATAATAGCTTGCTTGAGACGGATGTATATGTTCCCAAAACGGGCCCGGCGCGAAAGCGACATTTGGGTTCGGAGCGCTGCCTCGACGGATATTCACTACATGTAAGCCACTCGCATAACGCTGTATGAAACGATCAGTTTAAACACAGAGCTCACAGGCCTTGCTAGGAGATCGATATTGTAGTCCACTCCGCAAAGTTGCGAGGTCCCGCATTATAGAGTTATATAACTATGAGCATCACCGCAGAGCAGGTTAAGGAGAAGCTCCAATCAGCGCTAGAAGCGCAAGCTGTGGTGAGCCGGATTGCGTGTTCTACTGCTTGCATGCAACAGTAGTTACTCAGCAAGCTTTGACGCCAATGCCGGCGTAATTAATCGCAGGAGGTTATCGACACGTCTGGAGGGTGGGCTGCTGTAAATAAACTAGGCTGTTGCATGGTAGTGCGGCTAGCAGGAAGCAGCCCCTTAGCCCCCATCAACTGACGCATTTCCCTGGCAACCACAACTTGGGCAGGTGTGGGGCGGCTTTCGAAGTGGCCATTGTATCAGCACAGTTTGAGGGCAAGTCGCTCATCCAGCGCCACCGATTGGTAGGGCCGTACTTGCTGCCGATACGGGCAATGTGATGTCGATGCCAACAGGCGCTGTGTTTGCATGCAGGTCAATGAGGCACTAAAGGCTGAAATGGCCTCCATACACGCGCTATCCATCAAGAAGTGCTGGACGCCTGCCCAGCAGCAAGCTGCCACGACTGCGCAGTGACAACGCGGGCTATAGCCGCCTGCGGGGTCCATTAAGACCCTGACAGGAATCACTCCGCACCATGCGGGGGAGTCATTACGGTTGTAAGGGCTTGTAACGGTATGCTCTGCGTCCTTCATCGCCATCTAGATACACTCCATGCTGAGACAAGTCCTTGTAGCTGCAAGCCTACAAGCCTGGGCAATACCAGCACCTCAGCCCGGGTCTATACTACCAGTCTAAACGGCTATGCTCCTCACCAGCCACAGCAAAACCACCACAGCCAGCACCCCACCCCCTACTTCCTAGTTTGCCACTATCACTCAACGCATGGTTCTCCTTCTTTACCCCCTACTTCTCCAACGCCCACCACTGCTGCGCCTGCTTATCCAGCCGCGCCAACAGCGCCTTAGCGCCCAGTGCCAACAGCACGCCCAGCAGCACCACCACCGCCAGCACTACCCCACGGACCACAGCCTGCAACCGCTCCTGCCGCCGCCGCTCCGCCTCCTTCTTGGCCGCCAGGGCCTCCCGCTCCGCACGCGACAAACGAACCTTGCCCGCCGCCTTAGCTCCACCGCCCTCGCCGCCTGCGCTGCTTGCAGCTGCCACGTCTGTGAGAGACTCGGTGCTGTGTGAAACCGTCAGAGCGCCCGCACCACTCTTGGGCGCCGCTATCGCCGCTTTAGCCTTGGCACGCTCGCATTCGGCATCGCATGGCAGCAGCCGGGGGGCCTGTGTGTCGTCGTAGGTGCGCGGCTTGCCGGCCTGCAGCAGCGCCGCTTGCACCTCGGAGCACTTCCACTTGGCTCGGCGCTTGGCGGGGCAGGCGCAGCGCACGCTGACCTCAGCGCTGCATGTCTCGGGGTCGGGGCAGGGACCCGCGTGGCAGATCGCCCTGTCATGGTAGGACGTGACGGATTGGAGGGGATGTAAGATTATGTCGTCAGAGACGTGATGGTAGCTCAACATGGAGGCAGGGAGTAAGGACTGGAAGACATGAGACAGCCCGTGTTGCGACAAAGACTAGAGGTGTGCGGGCAGCGCATGCAATGATGCACGTCTGGTGCCCGTTATGTTGCTCCAAGGCGTAACGACGTTATGTGATTAACAACGAGTAAACGCTATATTGCAGATTCCATGCTCATTTCCCCAAATCCGACTACAAGCTCTACTCACTTGCAGGGATGAGGGCAGTACATGAGCTGCTTGTGGCAGGGCTTGCCACACGACAGCACCGGCTTGCCCCCGCCAGCTTTAGCCCCGCCCTTGGCAGCTCCGACTGCAGCCGTCGCCTCGTAGCACGGCAGCTGCAGCGTCGACTTGCCGCACATGCACGCCGTACGCGTGACCACCTCGCACCTCGGACAAGGCCCCTGGTGGCAGCTCAGCGGGCACGGGTGGCTGCATCCACGGGGCCGCTCACACCGCCGATCGCACTGCTTGCATGGCAGAGGCAGCCTCGGGTCCGCCTCAGCCACTGCCGAGGCAGACCCTGCAGGTGCCCCTGCAGGCGCCACTGCATGGCAAGGCAATGCGCATGTGTGGTTGCCGCATGCCAGCGGCCGGCCGCATGGCGCGGTGCAGCGGTAGGGCCGCTGCTCGCAGCACGGCATAGCACGGCTGCCATGTCCGCCCACACACGCTACCATCACTGGTTGCGAGCAGGCAGGGCAGGCGCTCGGCAGCGTGCAAGCTGCGGCACTAGCAGCGAGCATCTGCAAGGCGAGCTGTGCCGACTCTTGTACGGCAGGCATGTTGGATATGTTGACGCTGCCTGCGGCGGCGTTCCGCTTGCCACGCTCGTTACTGACCCCGACGCTGCCGCTGCCGCCTCCGGAGACGCCAGCCGCAGCGGCGGAGGCGCTGGCGGAGGGTGCCTTGGGAGGCGGCGGTGGCTTGAAGTCTGGCACGGGCGGGGGCGCAGGGTCATGGCAGGCAGGTTCGGCGCAGCTGTGGCCGCAAGCCAGCGGCGTTCCGCACGGCAGGTTGCAGGGCGGACAGGGCCCGAAATGGCAGCGGTGTGGGGGCAGCTGCGGTCCGTGGCGGCAGATGCGGGGGACGGAGCAGGCGGCGGAGCAGTGCGGGGGCACGGCCTTGGACTCGGCCCCGCATGGGAGGGTGCAGTGGGCGGCCCCGCAAGCGCAGGAGATGGTCACCGTCAGGGGGCAGGGCCTGAGGGGCCGGGTGGCAAGGTGGTGGGTTAGGGAATGGGGTGCCGTGGGTTTGCGGACGTCATGGGTTGGCAAGATGTGCCAGGAAAGGACAGGAAAGGATTCCCCCAGGAAATACCGCTGCCAGGATGTGTAGTGGTGCCCTTCAGGATCAAGCCGCAAGCGTGCAAAGCCCCTCACCTGCACGGTCCACTGTGACACGGCGCGGGGCATTTGTGGTTGCCGCACTTCAGTCGGCGGCCGCACACCTCCTCGCAGGGCGGGCAGTTTCCGTCGCAGCAGCGCCGCTTGCAGGGGTGCCGCCCGCACGCCCTCATCTCGCCGCAGCGCCGCTCACACGTGAACTCCTGGAAGCACAGCACCTCCTTCTGGCTTTTGCCACACCTGTCGCAGGAGCGCATGCACACAAAAGGACGCCAAGGAAGGGAAAGGCTAAAAGCCAGCCAGCCGGTTGTTCTGTGCTTCTGTGCTATTTGTACCATGCCCAAAGCCCCAAACTACCCTACCACGTCCCCTAGCCGCCCAAACTACCCTACCACGTCCCCTAGCCGCCCAAACTACCCTACCACGTCCCCTAGCCGCCCATGCCTTCCAGCCCATTTCGTCATTCACCCCAGCTCACCTGCACGTCTTGACCACGGGCCCCCTGCACTGCGCGGTGCACTCCCCGTGATGGCAGCGGTCGTTGCAGCGGTGGATGCCGCACGGCAGCAGCTTGCCGCACGTGGCCCCGCAGGTGGGCGCCCGCTCCGCACACGACATGCCGCTGTGGGCCACCTTGCCGCAGGGGCAGGTGCGCGCGCCGGAGAAGGGACACTCGCCACAGCGTCCTGAGTGGCACACCTGTGCATGTGACAAGTGAGGAGGCGAGCGAGGGGTGAGGTGGCGTTCGGCGCAGGATGCCAGACCGAGGTTGCTCCTCTTTATTACCAGTATCGTATACGTTTTGTAGAGCACTCCTGACAGGAGTCGTGCATCTCCAGATGTGCGGTCCCATCCCGCTCACACGCAATCTCCACCCAAAGCCCTGCCCACCTGCTCGCACGTGTGGTTGCCGCATGCAAGCGGCTTGCCGCACACCCGCTCGCACTGAAAGCGCCGCTCTCCGCATGGCAGCCGCCGCCGCTCCGCCCCGCAACGACACTTGAAGTCACCCATCACGCGGCACGGCGCACATTCCCCTGGATGGCAAAGATCCGGGCAACTGTGCCCACACTCCAGCCTCGAGCCACATACCCCGTCGCAGCTGTACTCGTGGTGGCCGCAGCGCCGCTTGGTCCGCAGGCGGCCGCAGTGGCAGCTCGCATCCACCAGGAGCGGGCAGGGCGGGCAGGGGCCCGGGTGACACAGTAACAGGCAGGTGTGGCCGCAGTCGCCGGGCAGGGGGCGGCCGCACAGCTCGCCGCAGGTGTGCGGTGTGACCCATGGGTCAAACTCCGGGTTGGTCACTGTTGGGGGTGAGGAACCAGGCAGCCGACTTGGATTAGAGTTAGCATAGCATGTGTCTGATAGCTCTACCTAGAGACTGTGAGCTGAGGCCGCCTAAAGCAAGAGGTTTAGAGCCCTCTCCGTCGCAATAGCAGACGCTTATGGCTGTAGCACCGTACACAGCCGTTACAACTCTCGCTCGCGCCTCCTCCCGGCCACGACGTACTTACCCTTGCCACAAAAGCACTTGTATTGGCGCGGGATGTCGGCAGCCGGGTAGGTGCAACGGCACTTGGGGCAGCCCCACTCCGCGGCTGCGCGAGCCTCCTCCGCGGCGGCAGGGAACTGCGACAGCCGAGCCGCCGCCTTGGCACCCGCTGCGTCCAGCTGGCTGCGAGCCCACTCCTGCATGTGCGCACATGACACACACACACAAGGGAATTCGAATTAAAACCTGCCCGCCCAGGTGTCTCCACACCAAGAAACGGTACCTTCCTCCTCCTACCGTGCTACCGGTACGGTGCTCTTGGACCTCCATATACGTGCTGAAGCGTAAAGACGAATGCTCTATAGCCCTCTCGATAACGCCCAAATCTACGCCCTATTCCGCCCCCGCCCCCGCCGCTCCACCTGGATGCACACCAGGTGCAGCACCGTGTAGCAGCCCCGCTCGCAGCTCCACACCGCCTCGTCGGGCCGGATGTGGTTGAGGCAGATGAGGCAGCAGCTGCTGTCCACGTTGGTCAGGTGGTCGCGGATGCGGCTCAGGCCGGATTGAAACACCTGGGAGAGGGACGGGACGAAGGTGGGGCGGGGAAGGGAGGGCAGGGAAATCAGGGGAATGGGATTTTATCAACTGACCTAACATCAGCCGCATGCATGTCGAGATTCAAACCGACCCAGATCGCCTGTTGACTGACCCAAATCGCAGAATGCGGTACTCGGAGCAGAAAGCCAGCACACAGTGGGCGGTGGGCTGTAAAGGGCACAGCGGGCTCGGACCCCGTTCCTTTTCTTACATCTCACCTGATCCTTGCCCAGGTCATCGCCCTGCAGTGTCCCAGCCGCTAGGTACTGCTCGAACAGCGCACTCGCGGCTTGGCCCGACTGAGGGTGAGAGCAGGAGTACCAGGAGCGCGGCGAAATGGGAGGCGGGACGGATGGTGTGGTGCATATATAGAGGAGTGTGCCTGTCCGTGTTCTGTTCAGCAATGTTATGCATGTAAGGGAACGGCAATCGAGTTACGGTACATATGCGGTTGCTGGGGGATTAGATAAACTGAGCCGCGGAAACACTGACCCATAAGCCATAAGCCGTTCCGTGCTCACCTGGCCCTCCGTGTCCTTCCAGGCGGAGGGGCCCCCAGGGCGCCATGCCTGTGCGCTGCTGCCCACACCGCCCCGCTCGTCGTCGCTGCTGTTGTTGGACAGTACCGGGCCTCCACGACCCCGGAAGGGGCCGCTCCCTCCCACGCGCGGCATGACGAGCGGGAGGAGTACGCCGCGGGTAGAAGCGGGTCCTGCAGCACGGCAAGGGGATAGGCGGGGCGTAACTTGGGCAGCGAACTTCATGCGTTATGCGTGCTGTAGGGAGGTGGCCGAAATCAATTCCAAGTGCTGCTGGTGACGTTGGGCCATCGAGGCGCACCGCCGCGCCCAAGTCTCCAAGCATGAGCTGGATGTTCAACCCCTCGGCCCCCTGTTTACCACGCTGCAAGCAATACCCACAAAAGCACGCCAAAAGCTGCTTACTTTACTTCGACGACGGGGTTGCGGCCGGCGGAGAAGCCGGAGCAGGGTTTTCAGGCTCCTTGGAAGGGAGGTAGTCTTGGACTGGAAGGGTCTACATTAGGCGATAAGAACGTCTTTACACAAGTGCGGTTGTCGCAGAATAGACATCGCTTGCTTCCTGATCATGGTCTGCGTACCAGGTCTGGCTGCAGGATGTAGTGAACGACGGATGCTCCAGCAAACAGGGATGTGATGGCAACAAAGTAGCCCTTTGCAACGTCGTAGATCCTGCACAGCCGTGAACATCATAGCAGTTCTGAAGCTGGCCTGAGAAAGCCAACGCTCTTCTAGTTAAAACCATGTAACATAAACTGAAGTACACTGCCAACGTTGCAAAGCAAGTATGACGAAAGCGAAGGTGGCAATAGACTTCTGCGCCTACCTCATTTTACGACCAAAGCTATACCGCAGGGCAAATCTCCTTAGGCCTCTTGTGTTAATAAACCAATATGAATAGCAATCTATACTCTCATAGGGCACGCATGGCATTTTGCGTACGAAGTAAACACTGTGGCTCCGGAGCGAATTGCAGACCGGAAGTCTCAAGTCAAGAGAGAGCCGTCGAGCAAGAACTAACGTCCATAATGACGCAAAGTATCCCGCACAGGGATCGCCTTTGCACATTTAGGCGAGCGCGAAAGCGGTAAGGGCTTAAAGCCACGCCTTGGCAATGGCCCCAGCTAATGCTTCTCACACGGCAGCCATGACCTAGAACCCGCAGTTAGCCGCCGTGGTTTGCTAAAAAAGGACGCACGGAGCAAGGCCACGTATGGAAAAAGGTATATAATGTCTCTCCATTTCCTTCCTTTCTCGACGGCAACGTGGACCGTTCGGACGCTGACGTTAGTACTCCGCCTCCTATCATCCCGCATGCTTCCACTTCACTGCTCGCTGGCCCCACCCCCATAGCCGTTTCGGACCCATGGGGCGACCTGGTCGAAGGCTCAAAACTGAAGGTTGAGTGGCGGAAAGCTGTGCACTGTCGCCGTAAGGTCCAGCTGTAGAAGGGCTTCACCATATGCAGTATCAGTGCCCCTGCAAACACCGAACGCATCCATGACTATTACCACTCGGCTGCCGGCTTACTCAGCAAGCGGCCTCTGCGTGGGACCTGTGGTGAAGTTCCCACCCCTGGATGAACCCATACAACTCACTTTTAAAGCGCTAGCCATCAAAGCGCCTTTGCCGTCGAGAACCTAGCTTGCCTCATGCTACCCGCCGGTTCACCGCCCACTCACCCTGCCAAATCGTCAACGCCGCGCCCTCCCCGCGGGCCCGCATCCCAGGGCCACCGGAGGCCTCCAATACCGGCGGCCTCTCTCTCCACTCCATAGTCCTCACTGTCACCGCTGCTACCACCAGCGCCACCGTTGCTACTGCTGTGTCTGCTACATGCGTTAATCCGCATGTTCCAGAAGGCCAGCTCCGCCCCCTGCAGGTCCACCCGTAGCCTGCTGAAGAAGCGACTGAGCTCCGCCGATACCTCCCAGTCCACTGCTGCATCCTCATTGCTGCTGCTCCTGCTCACGTTGTTGTCACTGCCTTCACTGAAACTGCTGTAGCTGTAACCGCCTGCGCTAGAAAGGGCTGTTGGTGTGGTGATGTGCGCTGGAGCCCCCACGGGGATGGCGGTCACGACAGCTGCCCGGCCACCCTGATCGGGGCGCATGAGGAGGGTGTAGCGCTGGCCGGTGTACGGCAGGATGCCGCCGAACAGCACGCAGCCGCAGCCGGGGCTTAGCCCAGGTATAATGACAATGTGGTCTCGGTCGAACAGGAAAGGCCGGCCCTGCGAGGATAAGCAGGAAGAGGGGCTTGCGAGGGGCTTGCTAGAGCTCTTGTAACGGTGCAAGTCCCAGCATTGCACGTTTGCACCCCTTTATGTCCCCTCGGCCACCTGCACCGCCTGCTGCGCCGGGCCGGTCACCAGCGGGTGCTGCAGGAAGGCGCCCAGGTCCCGCGCGTTGAACACCACCCGCGCACTGCCCCGCGGCGTGTTCCGCAGCATGATGCGCTGCCAGAGCGCTGCCGGCAGGTCCAGCTGCACTCGCCCCACCGCCACCTGGCCGCAGGAGGCGAGGGAGGGAGGGGAGGGGAAGAAGCCATGACCCACAGGAGGGGCAAAGACCATGGCACACATACGGCAAGGGAGTGCAAAATTATGGCGCTGGGGGTATGGCGTTGAGTTGCCTACGGCATGGTCCCGGGTGCCGGTCAACATGGTCACCGGTAGTGGGTGCCGGATGGTACCGGTACACATGGTATGCATGCACGTCACGCCTTGGCGGCACTTACGTCGAGAGCCCTTGCCGTCAGACCCATTGGGCTTTCCCACCGCCGTCCTTCCACCTGCACCCAGACGTGCAGACCCAAGTGGTGTTCGCGCGGTTCACGACAAGTGGTTCATGACGCCGGTCTGCGCGCTGGGAATTCCTAACACACAGCGGCCGTTGTTCCCCTCTGGTGCTTCGCTGGGGTGGACGGTAGCAAGGCTGCTGCACCGTACCTGGGCTCCCTCAACGCTCCCCGACATCAGGTCCCAAGCGGAAGCCGTCAGCCGCACTGTCACCCTGCCGTGGGAACGCAGGCGAGCACGCAGGGCTGCTGCTGCGAGTGCCTCAACCGCCGCAGCGACCTGTGCAGTGCAGTCCGTGTGGGGCGGGGAAGGCAACACGGCGGGGAGAGGCTCGGTTGGTGTGAATTGATGAAGGTCAAAAAGGCTGGATTGGGGTGTTGCCGTTGAGGTGTTGGGGAAGGGTTACATAGTCCTGCAGCGGCACATGATGGGTGCATGGACAAGGGTGTACGGGGTAGTGCAAGGCGCCTGGCTGACAGGCGGGGCAGTGCAGCTAAGAGTCCATATAGATAAAGAGAGGCACTAATGTGGCAACAGGTCGACCCCAATACCAGGCTGCAACATGCGGATGCCCATGGCCGTCGTAATCACTTCAGGAAACGTAAGCGATTTGGGTCGTCTTCAATTATTTATCGGCTGAATTTACGAAGGGAAAAAGCTTCGCCAGTGCTCACAAACCCTGACAGCGAAGCATGGGTCATGCCTCATGCGGCAGCTTTTAATGGTCAAAGTCCTGAAACGCCTTAAGTCGCTTTCTACTCTATCCATGATTGCACATTGCGCACAGTATCGACAGCAAAGATAAACTCCCTAGAAATTGACCTACCACATCATGGTTTTGTACTGCTTGGCAGGTGGACAGTCGCTGGCGACGCATCCTTTTTGCATCGAGGAAAGAAACGCCACGAATGCGAATGGATGAGGGAGCCGGCATGCCAAACGCGGGGAGGCGAACTAGGAGGCTATGTTACAAGGTGCGATGTAGGATAAATCGGGGCCAAAATGTTCCGATATATAGAAGATGCAGACAACGTTTGTGCATAGTCATATTTATACATTGCCTGCTGCTGCCAATGTGGTCGCAGCTGGCAGTAAGTACGGCAAGCCGTACAGATGTCATCAACCATTTTGTGTGGTACTTGAAACACATACAACCCAAACTCCTGCCAGCCCCCCTTCCTGGCTCACAACCTCGTAACTACTCCGCGGGTAGTTAAAATAGCACAAGCTTGCAGCCAATGAGCTGGTCCGCACGGAAGGAAGCATTGGCTTTCCGAAGCAAGACGTGCGCACACCCTGCCGCGTTCTCACAGCGGATAGGGGGTTCACCCAGCCGTGCCTTCTTCCGCGCAATCCCCTCACACCGCTCGCTTGTCCCGCTGTCAGCGCCCCCATCGTCTGAGCTGGGCCCCGATTCCGAGCTGCATATTGAGCCACTGCTTCCCGAACTTAGGCTTAGGAGCCCGTCCCGAACGGCGACATAGTCGTGGATGCCAGCGCTGTATGTGTCGCTGCTTGTAGTGGCAGACGAGGTTTCGACCGATGTGCTTGCAGCCCGCTTGGCGGCGATGTTGCAGCAGCTTACGCTTGGTCGGTCTCGAGGGTCATGCTCGCGGACGGGGTGTGGTGCCTACGCAAGGAACCTAATGCACGTTAGTCCTGCTGAGTAATCGTTCCAAGGTATCGACAGAGCAGTATTTGTCCTTATGTGATTCAGGCAATCTTGCGCGGCGACCAGGTCAGCGTGCATCAGCATTAATGGTTAGCTGGACAGCGTTGTGACTTGACGGCAGCCAACTTACCAGGCAGCGTTCCCGCCTAGCATCCAATCCTGAAGAGCCAGCAGCGGACTCGGGTGAAAAATTGTCGCCGGAGACCTCTTCCGCCTGCTGTTGGCGAATGCAAGCCATTGACGCAAAGTTACGATGACTCAAACAGTGTATTATTATGGATTGCAGCCTAAAGTGCAGAGTAGTAGCTTATGCTCAAGTTTGGGGACGCTGCCAGTGTATACTGCGGTGTAAGTCAACAGTGAGACTCAGGATAGGAGTCGGATTAACTTGCCGCGAGCTAACGATGGCTTTAACTTGCTAGAGGTACGCGCTAGTAATACTATATGCATGCAGAACAATCAAAAAGGGTAATTTATGCTTGGCCCCCCGTACATGTACTTCAAACAAAAACCGAATTTTCGATAATACCGCGCGCGCTTTATTTCCGCCTGGCTATTTCGACAGTGGCGTACTCATGGTGCTAGACATAATGGATTTCCGCTCGGTTAAGCCTTTCCCGAGGCCGCAAGGAAGCCAGTCTTTTCGTCGGTTATTGCAACGGTTCGCGCCAGAACTGGCTGTAGTCCGCGCCTTGTTCTTAATGCCCTCATGCAGTGCGCATCGTGCTTTGACTTTGAAGCTTCAATTTCATCCCAGACGCTTCTGTTACAGGCAACTCGGCAGTTCCGAATTTGGGTCAGTCGTTAGACTCAAAATCCCCTATGGGATGGCCACCGTCAGGCCAACTTAACAATTGCCAACTTCAATACAACGTTTTCAACATCAACGAATGCAAACTATCTAGTCCCCTAGGAGCTCTTCTAGCCGCCGTGGCTTTGGCTCCGCTTCCGCCGCATTCTCTTCTTCGCTCTCCCCTCCTGCGTCTGCGTCCAGCATTCGCCGGCAACTTCTCTTTGCACTACTCCTGCGAATGCTATTCAACATGGCCTCCTGTACAGCCGTGCGACCTGGCGTCCGGCCCCCAAGACCACCACGCCCAGGCGTCGCGCCAGCCCCAGCTACTGCCAATCCCTCGGCCCCTGTCTCTTGTCCCTTGGCTTCCTCTCTCGTTCCACTGCCCTCAACCCCGCTTTCCCCACTGATGGCGCCAGCCGCCTTTCCGGCAGGCAGCACGCTTGTCTTGCACAACTTCTGCAGCAGCTCCGCTCCGCCCGCAGGCACAGGCGGCATGGGCCGTGTTGGCGTCCCATGTGGGGCCAGGGGTGGCCCCGCAGCGGCCGCAGCGCCACTGCTACCAAACAGCCCACCGCCACGCAGGCCCTGACTCCTGGTAGGAGTCTGGCCGCCACGGCTCATAGCCGGCGAAGGCGGCGGCCCGCGATGCATGGCTGGTGACGGCGGCGGCAGCGGTAGACCCGGTGGCCGCTTGCGTGCGGACGGCGGCGGCGGGGGCATCTCAGACACAGATGGCCCCTCACCCACATGCCCTACAGCCGCCACGTCAGCAGCCCCTGCACCCTCCTCAAGCGCCGAAGCCAAGGCACGCGGCTTCAGCTGCGCTGTTGGGGAGCCGGGCGGAGCTCGTGACTGCATGCCAGCGCTGGTGCTAGGCGACGGTGCTGTCGCCGCCGCAGGTGGCGCCCCTGCTCCGCGCTCAAATATGGACTGCACAGCGGCATCTGGGTCGGCTGCGAGGGCCTTGAGCTTGGCGGCGATGGCGTTGATGTTGGGCACACGGCTGATGACGACGCTGCGGGGGCGCGCCGATCCGTCTGCCATCATGCGGGGTTCCTCGATGCGTAGGAACTCGGGTACCGCGCGGGCGAGGGCCACCAGGGTGTTGCTGGCATCGCGGGCGGTGAGGCCCTGCCGCTGCGTGGAGCGCTCGCACATGGCCTGGGCTACCTTCGGGAAGAATACAGGAAGGGTAGCAGAGGAGCGGAAGGGGTTAGGGGAGCGCGCCTGGGCCTCTATGGGCGATTGCCGGTTTGCATGGCACGGCATCATGCAGAAGCACACCCGCCCGTGGTCCTTATCAGCTTATCCCTGCTGCATCCGCGGTCGACAACCACAACCTGGCAACGTTTCTTTCCAAAAGACCTTTCCTTTAATAGAGAAGGCGACCCGCCGGACCCACCTGTGTGAGCGGTTTGACGGTGGGCCCCTGCAGGCCAAAGATGACCCGGACCAGCTCGTGACCGTGCGGCAGCAACTGCACCGCGCGCCGCATCTCGGCCCTCCGCTTGGCCTCGGGGGTTTGGGCCGCTTGAGCAGCCTCCGTCTGCATGATTTTCTGCATGGAAGCAGGAAGCGTAGGTATGAAGCGTTAGCCGGGAATTGCAAAGAGCTGGTGTTCGAGATCCCCTCAGGATACACACAAACCAAGAGCCAGGCTTTGACCCAGAACAGTTACGGCCAGCCTAGAAGCGCATGCTTAATCTGTGGGGGATAGCAGCCAAGGCTAAGCACCTGAAAGCTAAAAATTGCAAGACACCGGTCCCAACCCAAATCCCTCACGTCTATGCAAAGCCTCAAGACCCCACCTGCAGCGCTGCCGGCGAGAGCAGGCTGTGCAGACGCGCCAGCCGAGGGTCATTGTCTCCCGGCCGCTGCTGACTCGTCGGCGTCGTCTGCGGCACCGACGGCCGGGGTCCCTTGGACTGGGGCGTGGCTGCGGCACCAGCACCCTGCGTCGCTGTCTCGCCGGCATCTTGCTGCGTCAGCTCTAGCGCCGGCTCCTCAGCCGCCATGCCCTCGTCGCCCTCCCCTCCCGCCTCCAGCACAACGTCCTCGCCGTCCTGCTCCCCGCCATCCTCCAGCAGCTTTCGCCGCCGCGGCTGCCGCGAGGTGGGTGTGTGGCGCGTGGGCGTGCCCTCGGGTATGGGCGTCAGAGCCGTTGCGGGACCCATGGTGGGGATCCCCAGGCGTGACCTAGAGCGAGTCATGGCGGGAGAGGCGCCGGAGAGGCTGCTGCCTCCCGGAGAGGCCAGCGCGGCAAGCGGGGCCAGGGCCTGGGGGAAGCGTGAAGGGGGCGGGGGCAGCAAACGGGCGAGTCAGTGAACCAAGAGCCGACGGTTCGAAGGATTTTTGGAGCTACCTCATGGCTACGCTGTAGTGGCGATCTGGGTTTAGCAGCATGCCATTTGGGTCGTGCCTAGTTAGGGGCACTTCACATCGCCACGATGTTTGTTGAGATCAAGACTGTACACTCTAGTGCCCTTGTTCCCAATTGTCGCGTATGCCGTGTTTACCGCACGAAGCCCTGCTGGCATGAAGAGTCGCAGCTGTAGCCGTTATGATGCCCGACCCGCAACGCACCTGTGCGTCCTGGGGGCCGCTAATGCCTCCCGCGCTGACCCCTCCGCTGGGCGCCGGGCTCGCCAGGCCACCGAGTTGCATGGAGGCGCTGCGAGAGGGCGTCGTGCCCGGGGCTGCAGGCCGCGGGGGCAGCGGCGCCTGAGGGACGGGGGGCAGCTTGCCGGTCTCCGCGTCCTACAACGAAAAGGATGGGTGTCAGAAGGGGCAGGAGTTTTTAGTGCAGGTTCCGCATAACGGTAAATAGTGGTTGTTCCTCCTGCCGCTGGAACGTGAATCTAACAAGGGAGTCTTACACACCGGGGTATTCAGACTATCATTTCCATCGCCATGCCACAAGGCCCCCACAGGCACATTAAAGTGCGTGCATTCACAAGAGCACCCTCCTGGTCCACGCACCACAGGGTTCTCCCGGACGAAGCGCTCCAGTTGGGCTCGGAACTCCGCCACCTCAGCGGTAGAGTTGTACCTGCCCACGCTCCCCGCGCCTCCGCCCTCCGCGCCCGAGGACATGGGTCGGTCAAAGGTCAGCAGCAGCTGGGTCTCCAGTCTGATCGCAAGGTGCATGGATTCGGGTACCGAGGTATGAGTGAAGCTGGCCACGATCAGCTCATGCGTTCGGGGAGTGCAAATCATACGATTAACTGTCTATGAAAGGATTAGGATGAGAGGCGCTAGCAGCGGTGACGTTCTGGGATGCATGCATGCAAGTGCTGAGTCAAGGGGCACCTGAGCCACTGTCGTACAACTGGGCTGACTTACTGCTTCGGGTTAACCGCGGAGGGGACCCGAATGTACTGCCAATCAAAGGACTCGGGCCACAGGTACTTGATCTGGGCGAGGTGCTCCACCTAGGAAAGAAAAGTTTGGGTTCGTGCACACAAGGGGCAGAGGAGGGTGAGCTTCGTGCCAATGAGCAAAGCGTGACTTAAAGGACAGGACTGGATCAGATCCATGTCGACAATCCCTAACCCCATGTCGACGAACAGTCCTCTAACCGGTCTTTGCCCCCCCTCCTTACCCGAAACTCGCGCTTGGTCATGTTCTCCACTACATGGCGAACGCTGTTATATGTAACCTTTTCGCTGCGGCGTTTCAGCATCATTCGGCCGGTGCGCACAGCATCTGCAAGCGAGGTATTAGTCAATGCCAAGTCCAAAGCCGAATGCGTGTCTTGAGCATGCCAGACCTTCTTACCAAACATTTGCAATAGTAATTCAAGCTCTGAAGGCAGCTTGGGTGCGGTTTCCGGTACCGGCGCGCTGCCCTGCTCCTCTGCCATGCGCTGACTGCTTCTCGCGGGAGAGCCACTCTTGGGAGCTGCCCGAGCCCGCTTCGCTGGAGGCGATTTGACGTCTATATCGGCTACGTCAACTTGTTTCTGCACATGCTTGAGGATGCTTGATGGCGGGGCCAAGCCGGCCGCTGCCAGCATCTGCTCTCCTCTACTTCGACGCTTCATTCTTTTGCTTCTTATGTGCTTTCCGTGTTAATGGTAACTCTAAACGAACCTTTGAGCCAACACAAGCTCCGCTTATGGCTGTAAGATGGTCCTTCCCGCGTACCCGTACGTGTTTCGGAGCAAAACGTTAGGACATGTTCGTTCATTATGCTCGCTACAGCTAACGTAAAACCTTACAACAAGAATGAATCAGTGGCATGTCGTAGGTGCTGGTTCGCTTGGTTTGCTGTGGGCCTTTCACTTGCGCCAGGCTGGAAACATAGTCACATTGTTACTGCGCAATCATGCTGATGTGGAATCGTTCAGAGATAGCGGATATCGTGTCAGTCTTTTGGAGCTTTGGCGAAATAATGCACAATGGCTGTCCTCGGAGCCAATACAAGCAGCAACGCTGTCGCGAAGCGCTGGCAGCTCCCACCTATCAGAAAGGATTGACATGATTCACCGCCTTGTAGTGGCCACCAAGGCGCAAGATGCGTTGCCAGCACTCCGAAGCGTGCTGCCCTACCTAGCGCCCGGCTGTCGTTGCATCTTGCTACAAAACGGCGTATTGGCGGTCGCAGATGAGCTGCAGCAGCATTTAGGGCGGGAACTTGGCTTGCCTCCTCTTCCGCTGTCGGCAGCGGAAGCACAGGCAGCTGACACGTCCAGCTCGTCATCCCCGCCAGCCAGCATCGCAATCCGCATCTACGCCGCGAGCGTAACACATGGCTGCTATCGCCCAACACCGGCCCTTGAGGCCACTGCATCACCCAGCGACCCCACAGCTTCCGCTCCTTCCCCAACCGGCGCCCCTGCCACTCACACGTCTTCCAGCCATGCCACGCACGGCGTCGTACATGCGGGGTTCGGTCACATAACCCTCGGCTCCCTCGCTCCCTTCCTCCACTCCACCAACACCACGCCACCAGACCCCCATGCCGCTGCTACCACTAACGCCACCATCACCATCACGACCCCCTCGGCTGCTGCCGACGATGATGATGACACGACCTTCCTCCAGCAGCTTGCCGCCTCCCTCCCCGGCCTAGCCCTCCGCCCCGCACCCCACCCTGCTGCCCTGCTGCGGGAGCTGCACTCCAAGCTGGCCGCCAACTGTGCCATCAACCCCCTCACGGCGCTGCTGGGCTGTCGCAACGGGGCGCTGGCGGAGCAGCAACACACTCGGGCCCTCATGCGGGACGTGTGTCGGGAGCTGGTACAGGTGTTCGGGGCTGCTGCCTTCCAGCGGGAGGCCAGGGAGGGAGAGGTGACGGTGGCAGGGAGGGAAGGAGGGCAGGCGGAAGAGGTGCAAGTGGAGGAGTGTGTTGGGAGGGAGGGGAAGGTGCGGGAGGGAGGGGATGACGCAGAGGAGGGGGGAGGAAACGGTGCTGGGGTACGGGTAGCGGAGGAAGCGGCGGCGGCGGAGGGTACGGGTTGTTTACCCCGACGTCAGGAGAACGGTAAGGGGAGTAGCGCCACAGGAGATGCGTCTGCGCTGGAAGTAGTGCAGGGTAGGAACGCGGAATCAGCGGAAGCGGCGTTGTACGAGTGGGTGTTGGGCGTGGCTCGCGCGACGGCTCGCAACCGCTCCAGCATGTTGCAGGATGTGGCTGCGGGGCGGCGCACGGAGGTGGACTACCTGAGCGGGTGGGTGCTGCGGGTGGCGGCGGCCCGGGGGGTGGCGGCGCCGGTGAATGGGGCGCTGTACGGCATGGTGAGGGCGAGAGAGGCGCTGGCGGAGGCTGGGCTGGTGGACGGGGGCCGGAGGTAGGGCGCGGAGGGAAAAGAGGCGTTGCAGTGGTGTGCGCATGTGGGGCATCATGCATGCATGCGTGTAGAAGAGGTGACGCATTTCGTTTAAAGGCTCTGTCGTGCAGCCCCTGAAACTTGACAGAAGCTGGCAAGCTGCTATTCGTAGTGTTTGGGGTTAGAGCCTGTTGTACTGTTGGATGTTGCCGGTATTGGCGGTACCTCTTGTTGAATACTGCGGCTCGGAGCCCATGGCAATTATCGCCCATCATGCGCTCTAACGGCGAGTTTGGTATGACATTGTTTTCTTGGTAAGTTGACTTGAGAGGGGGGGGCAATGCTTGTGTTGCGTTAGGCAGGTCAGGGGCCGTTTTACGTGCCATTCTGTGCGTGCCGTAGCGGTGTGTTAAGGAAACAGGCCGGTGTGTTATAATAACTGGCCGCGAGGCCGGTGTGTGTGACAGGCATGGTACTGGCGACTCTTGACTGCTCTATGCGTGTTGAAGGCAACGTGGGCGGGTGTTGGAGAAGCCGGGAAGAAGGGAGCACGTTGGGGACTACATTGTACGGCCGGGAAGCTGTGGACACAACTGCGTGCTTGGGTTGTGCACACCCGTGGGTGGCTGTACGGCACACCTGTTGCAGACCTGTTGCAGACCTGTTCCAGACCTGTTCCCACTTGTTCGTCATGAACACGCCAGCAGCGGGCCAACACTGCCCTTACTAGCTGTGGAACAACCTACAGCAACAACTCCTCCAACCCAACTGGCAAGCCTGTGTTAAGCTTTTGTCAAGACTAGCCGAGTCTACATCCAGCTACATATCCACCTGGAATACCGCCGGTCGCGCAACTCTCATCCCCTCCCGCCCCGCTGCTCGTGCAAGCCAAAGCAAACCCCCACACCCGTCCCTAACCACCGCCTCAACCACCCCGTCCACCCCCCACGCGTCCCGCCCGCCTCGCCCCCACCCGCCTCCTCGCCCCCCTCCCTCCTCTCCCTCCCCGCCCCCTCCCCTCCTCCTCCCCTCACCACATCCTCCCTCCCCACCGCCGCCCCTCTCCCGCCTCCACTCCAACACCCGCCCAACAGCCCTCCCCTCCACAGCCCGCCTCCTCCCGCCCTCCCCCCTCTCCCCCCCTGCTCCCCCGCCCCCTTCACCGGTCCCGCATCCGTCCCCGCGCTCTCCACCGGCCCCTCCGCCACCCACTCCACACGCAGCCCCCCCGCCCTCCGCATCCGTGCCGGCATTGATGTCACCCGGTGGTCCAGTCCCTGGCCTCGGCAGCGGTCTAGCGTCAGCAGCTGTAGCCGCGGCGGCAGCGCCTGCAGCGCCGACCGCAGGGCGCGTGGGGTGACGCGCATGACGCGCCGCAGCGTGATGGAGCGCAGGCGGGACAGGGAGGAGCCGGCGTGCGTGAGGGAGGCGAGCACGTCCCACTCGCAGTGGGCTGCGTCTACCACCAGCGCCTGTGGGGGAGATGGGGGAGTAAGGAGGAAGTGGGAAACCCTCACTCTTCCTGGCATGTACCCGGTCCGGACGGGTCGGGGGGGCTCGCATGTTGCAAACAATGATGACGCCTTATCACACGGTTCGTGAGTTGTTTCCTCTTTACCCTCCCCATCATGCTCACCATTTCTCTCTCCTTCCCTCCTCCCCACCTCCCCTCCCCCCACCCACCTCCAGCGTCCCCAGTCCGTCAAACAGGTGCGGCGCCCAGCCCACCCGCCGCCGCGGCACCGCGTACCCGGGCGCGCAGGTGAGGGTGAGGCGGGTGAGGGCGGGCAGCTGCCGTACGGACTGCTGCAACGTGCGGGTGGTGCCAGCCAGCGTGCGGAAGCGCAGCAGATGCAGCTCCTGGGAGGGAGGTGGGGGGGTGGGGGGAGGTGGGGAGGGCGGGAGGCGTGGGGAGGTGAGATGAGAGACTAATGTCATGGTGGTGGTGGAGGAGGTGTGGGTTGGTGATGGTGGTCCTAAAAGTACCCATTACCCCATAACTTGTGCCCCCTCGTCTCATCACCCTCTCTCCATCCCCTCCTAACCCGCTCTCGCCCTCTCCCCACACCTAACCCGCTCTCACCCTCACACTGCTCAGCTGCGCCAGCACCGCCAGATTCGCCGCCACCGCCGGCCCCTCCGCCGCACTGTAGGCGCTGTACGGCACCAGCGTCAGCCGCGTAAGGCCCGCCAGCCCCGCCGCTGCCGTACCCATGTCTGTAGCCGCCGGCCAGTCCCTGCAGGTGAGGTCGGAGAGCTGCGGGAAGGTGGAGGTGAGGGGGCGGCTGCCGCGACGGAAGCGGAAGACGGTGAGGGCGGTGAGGGAGGGAGGGGCGCGGCTGGCGAAGAGCAGGGGCTGGGTGAGGTCCAGATGGGCGAGGGCTAGACCGCGGAGGGAGCGGAGACCGCGAACGGCGGCGGCGGCGGCTGCTGAGGAAGGAGGGGCAGAGGCAGGGGCAGCAGCAACTCCTGGAGTCAATCCCTGGACGCTTGTCGTAATGGTGGTGGCAGTGAGGTCCGATGTGGGGTTGCTGCCGCTGCTGCTGCTGCATGTGTTGGTGGTGGTGCTGCAGGTGGTGCCGTACATGTCCCCGAACAGCGCCTCCAGGTGGGAGTCGGTGATGTGGTGGTGCAGCCAGAGCCCCAGGTAGGGCAGCTGGGGGGCGCAGGGGGGCAGCAGGCGGCAGGAGGCGGCGGGCAGGGACAGGTCGGCCTGGGCGGGGCGGGGAGGGACGAGGGACAGGGGGGCGGTGAGGTGAGGTGAGGTGAGGCGATATAGGGGAGGGACGAAACAAGGACCTAACATTGCGAATTGCCAGGTTGCGTCCCTTCCCCACCGCCCCGGCCCCCCCTCACCGCTAGTAGCAGGTGGTTGAGTCGCGGCAGGCCGCCATGCGCCGCCAGGGTGGTCCAGAAGGCGGGGCTGAGCTCCAGGGAGGGGCTGCCGGGGGAGGAGGAGGAGCGGTGCGGCGGCGCGGAGGAGGAGGAGGAGGAGGAGGCGGGACTGCCGTACAGCTCCAACCGCTCCAGGTGCGGACCCAGGGCTGCAGGGGGAAGGGGGAGCGGGGGGGGGGTGCGAGGTACGGAGGTGAGGAGGAGAGAGGTACGGAGGATGAGTAGAGTCAGGCGTGCGTTCAGGGTTAGGCGGATGGAGGTTAGGCGCGGGCGAGGAGGCGCCTGCGCACCATGTTTGACCTTCTCAGGTGAGGTTCCCCCTACCCACTCCCCCCTACCGCGCCATCCCCACCACCACCACCATGCATCCTCATATCCCCCTTACCTCCTACCCTGCCCCACCCCCCCACCTGCCAGCGCCAGTGCTAGCTCCCGCAGCTCCATCCCACCGCCCCCACCAGCTCCCGCCCCAGCCGCCGCGGAGTACCCCCTCGGACCTGCCTCCCCAGCACGAAACTCCACCGCTCCTCGGAGACCCTGGAATCCCACTCCCACCCCCATTTCCGCCCCCTGGCCTCCCGCCCCCTGGCCTCCTGCCCCCGCCCCCGCTCCGAAGGCCGCGGGGTCCAGTTGCAACTCCAGGTGACGCAGCCGCCAGGCGGAGGCCTGCCGCAGCCCGCCGCCGCTACCGCCTCCCAGTGACCCAAGTGACCCAAGGGTCATCAGCGCCGCCATGTCAGCCGGGCCGGCTAGCCGCCAGCCGTCGGGGCTGGGTCCCTCCAGTGTGAGGCGCAGCACCGGTCGGGGTAGCATGGCGCCTTGGGGCTGAGCAGGAGGAGGAGGAGGGTAATGGTGGTGAGGGTGGTGCGGATGGTGATGCAGGTGAGGGAGGTGCCGAGTGGTGGGGGCATCAGCGGGGTTGGGTGAGGGCGCGGAGGTGCTGGTGAAGGGTGAGGGAACAGCAGCAGCAGCAGCCGCAGTGGTGACGGCAGCGGCGGCTGGGGACGGGGACGGGGAAGAGGAAGAGGAATGGCAGGTCGAGAGGGTGACGGAAGAGGAGGAGGGGGCGGCCAGTGCGTCGGCTTGGGCAGGCAGCGGCGGCGATTGCGGAGGCGACGGGGACGGACCGGGGGGCGGCAGCGGCGGTGCGGCGTTTAGCATGGCCGCCAGCATCGCGCATGAGAGCTGCGTGGGGCTGGTGAAGGAGGAGGAGCTGCAGCAGGGGGAGGAGTAGGAGGAGGGCTGCGCAGCTGCTGAAGGGGCTGACCCCTCAGCTGCGGCAGCGGTAGTGATAGCACCAGGACCGTTCAGGCTTCCAGGGCCACCCCCAGGACCTCCACTGCCGCCGCCACTGCCGCCGCCACTGCCGCCGCCGCCCGGCAGCCGGCCTTCCCGGTATCCGACTGTGGCGCTACCGGTAGCCCCGGCAGCTCCGTATCCGGCACCAGCCGACCCAGCAGCCCGAAGAACAAGCGCACCACCGCCACCGCCACCACCGCCGCCACCGCCATCGCTGCTCAGCCCTCGTCGCTGCGGCAGCCAGTCCGGCTCGCGATACCGCCGCGGCTGCTGTAGCTGCTGCAGCTGCTGCTGGTGCTGCTGCCCGGGTTGCTGCTGTCGTTGTTGCGGGGGCTGGTACTGGTGCTGCTGCTGCTGCTGCTGCTGCTGCGTGCGGCGGCAGGTGTGCGGGAAGAGGTTGGGCAGCAGCGGCCGCATGGAGTCTTGGCACAGCCGGCCGGCGGGCAGCAGCGCCAGGCTCTCCACCACCAGGTCTAGCGGCGGCGGCGGCGGGTCGGCAGCGGGCATGCAGCAGGGGGGGCTTGCGGGGGTGTAGCAGGGGTGAGCGCATGCGGGGCGGGGGCAGACGGGGGTGCTGCAGGGGCGGGGACGGTGCAGCGGGGATGAGGTCGAGGCCGGTGGTACGGCGGCTGTAGTAGCAGCCGTTGGGCTGTTGGCGGGGCTTGCCGGTGGAGGCGGGTGGAGGGGTGCGGCGCGGGCGGTGCCACCGGCAGTGGTGGATGGCACGGAGGCGGCGCTGGCGGCTGTGGTGTAAGCCTCGGTAGCAGTGCTGAGGGTGCGATTGCCGCTGGTGCTGCTGGTGCTGCTGGTGCTGGTGCTGCTGCTGCTGCTGGTGCTGGTGCTGGTGGTGCTGCCATGCCCGGGGCCCAGGTCGTACACCGGCCGGGGGTCCTCTCCTCGGTGTTGGTAGCACAGGTGTGTGGGGGCGCACCAGTAGCGGCTAACCGCGGGGCGCTGGGGCGATGGCAGGAATGCCCGCGTACGGAGCTCAGAGCCGTCCTCGCCCTCGCCCACGACAGCACCGCCGGCGCCGTCGTTAACTTCGCCGCCGCCGCCGCCGCCACCGCCGCTGCCGTCATGGCTAAGCCGTTGGCTGCCGGCGGGACTTAGATACGCGCTGCCGCCGCCGCCGCCGCTGCCGCCAGCACACCCGCCGCCGCTGCAGCTGCTGCCCTCAAGACTGCTGCCGCAGGAGGTCAGGGTGGCTGCAGGAGACAGCACGCAGCGTGGGCTGGCTGCGGGCCTTGCGCGGCTCCACTTGTCTTCCCACTCGAGGGAGATTGGGTGCACCTGCTGCTGCTGCTGCTGTTGCTCGGCCCGTACGGCAATGGCGTTGCCGGAAGAGCCATGTGCCTCGGCCCGCATGTCCGTGCTGCAGCCGTCCCCATGCGCTATCGCTGCAGGCAACGGTGTAAAGGTAGGTGTAGGTGTAGATGCCTCGGGAACGACTTCTTCTGTACTGGTGGATGTTACAACAGTGGCAGCGGTAGCGGCAGCGGCCTCAGCTGTCTCGGGAACACTATCCGCACTCGTTGCAGTAAACGACGCCTCTGCTACTGCATGATCTTCCGTACTTGGGTTCTGGCTCGGGCTTGGAGTGCCGTACTGCGACCGTGCGGCGGCGGCAACGATACTTAGCACAGCCTGCGGCAGCTGCCCCGCCGCCTGTCTTGCCGTACCGGCCGGCGGCCCTGCCGTACACCGAAAGCTGCTGCTTGTGGTAGCCGTGGCGGTGCACAAGTTCGTCGTCTCCCCGTCGCTTGAGCCACTGTGATCGGCACGTAGGGTAACAGCAGTGCCGGAACCGTCGCCGCGCTCAGTGACCCATGGGTCGGCGTGTGAATCCACGACGCCAGCAACCTGCTGCTCAGCGCCGGTGCCCCAGCTGATATTTCCGTTGGTTCTATCACCGCCGTACCCCCAAATTGTACCTTCGCAGGGTACGGCATGTACGGCACGCAAGGCCCGCAGCAGCTGCACAGTCGCCTCCACACTCAAGCATGCGCCCCGTGCCGACACCGCCGCCGCTGATGCCGCCGCTGCTTCCAATCGCCCTCCCAGGTGCTGCAGCTGGTGGATTTGGTTGTGGGCCAGATGCTGCTGTGGCTGCAGCTGTAGCGGCATGTGGAATACCTGTAGCGGGCCGAACGGCGCGAGAGCCACGGGCATATCCTGGAAGGCTGAGAACAGGCGGGTTAGACGGCCCAGCAGCCGACTGGGCACCTCGACCAGCCGCCCCGCGGGCTGCCGCTCGAGCGCCGCCCCTGGGTAAATAGCGTTGGCGGCCCCAGCAGCCGCCGCCGCCGCTACCGCGGCGCCTGCAGGGGCAGCTACGGAAGCGGCGGCTGTTAGTCTGGCCGTATCCACGGCGGCGTTAACACGGGCTGCCGCGGCGGCAACCGCACGCAGTGTGGCCGCTGCAGCGTCGCTTTCATATCCACCATCTGCCTTTACATTGTTGCCGTACGGTGCATTGTCGTTGAATACGTCCGCCGTTTGCACACTGACCCGTGGGTCCAGCCCCTGCTGCCGACCCGCCGCTCCCACCCCCGTGACTGCTGCCGCAGCCGCAGCCGCTGCTGCTGCTGCTGCCTGATCCACAGCGGGCGCCACAAGCGGGGCATTGGCGGCAGCAACAACCGCAGCGGCATCCCCGCGTGGCTCGGTGGCGTCCGGGATCTGCGCCGCTGGGAGCTGAGGTCGGTGCCGCTGCGAGCGATGAGGCGGGGGTGCTCCAGGGGCGGCCGCGGCGGCAGGCGCCGGGTCGGCTTGAGCCCTGCCGGCGGCGGCGGCGCTGCTGGCGGTGTTGCCGGCTGCCGCTGAGGCCGCGGGTGCGGTTCTCGGTGGCGCCAGGCGGAGCTCGCGCAGGTGTCGCAGGCGGGGCAGCAGGTCCAGCAGCGGGCGCAGCTCATCAGCGCCCAGATCCTCCTTCCAGGGAACCAGCTAGAAGCGTGGGGGAGGGGAGTGTACGGTAGTGTCAAATGGGAAAGAAAAAATGTATCAGATGCTGGTAGTGTATTACGGTGCATTAACAGCGCTTGGCGTGTTGGCTAGGGACAAAGAACGAGGTTGCAAAAGAGAGCGAGCTTGTGCGAAGGTGAAGCCGAAGGCCGAAGGACACGGTTAAGAACCCCTTCCTTTTTGCGCAACGCCGGCTTTATATACCTTGATATGCGTCAGGAAAGGGAAGAAGGGAGGCGCAGCGGGCTTCAGGAGCGGCAGCCCATTCGCCCCATGGGTCGCAGCGCCCTGAGCTATCACCAATCGCCGAACAGAGGCGTCGACCGCGCGTCGGGCATCACGGCAGACGAGGCGCAGGCGGCGCTTGCAGCTGGCACCGATGTAGGTGCAGATGTGGCTGAAGATATCATCCGGCAGTCCGAGAAAGCGACTTTGCGGAGCCAAAGTCCAGGCTGGTTGACAGGAGGCATGATAATCCCAAGTTATTATCTTGCTCATAGCAGATCCGATTAGCAAAAGTGTTAATGTGTAGTAGTATGCGACCTGCGACTGCTGCTTGTCAGGCTGGACTAAAAGACCGCAAACGCCTAAGCCGCGAACGCAATTGGTGCAATGTGTGCATAGCAGTTGCACTAAAGCATCTCCTGTTTAATCATATCAGCGTAAAAAGTCTACAAAGGTAAAAGCCTGCTTAGAATGTTCGCGGTGTTCAGCCGGCCATCGCACAGCCTCGATGATCGGACGCGACCTTGGAACTGACCCGCGACCCAACCGCCCCCAACCGCCCTCCGCCCTCACATCATCACAAAAGCTGTAAACTCCGAAACAGTAAGCCATTTAGCTTGACTCATTCAAAGAAGTCTCTCAACTCTTATACAGCCCATTATCTTTTCCAACCTCATTACCAGGTCTGACGAAACCTATCTGCGAGACAAACCGCGCGAAAAAAGCCAAGCACACAACAAAGCCAGATGTCTCGTCCCGCCGCTTCACCGCCCAGTTCCGTTGCGGAGGACCTCCGCCAGACCTCCCAGGCCGCAGCCGACCTGGCTGAAGCCTTGCTGGCTGCTGCCGAGCCGCCTCCTCCCACCACCACCGGCCCCGAGATGCCTGCCTCCGGCGGCGGCGGCTCCGAAACTCATCATCATGACCACCATCATCATGACGTGGTTCCGGAGGGCCTCCGCCACACCAGCGAGGTGGCGGCGGAGCTAGCCAGCCGCGTGCTGGGGGCGCTGAGCGAGCGGCTGCACCGCGGCCACCAGCTGCGCACGCCGGATGAGAACCAGCCGCACGGGGGACATGCGGGTGGCGCGCGGGAGTGAGCGGGCAGGCGAGGTGAGGGGCTGGGGGCGTGAGGTGGGCGGGGAGAGGAGGGAAGGGCGTGCGTTGGGGAGGGCAGGGGGGAAGAGCGAGGGGAGGACGGGTGGCTTTCGTGGGTTGTAAGGAGTGGGGAGGTGCGGGGAGCAGGGCGGCGCGGCGGGGCAATGCGAGGTGGTGGCAATGGTGTTGCATTCTTGTGAGGCTGCCAAGTAACCTTGCAGGTTTTGCTGAAATGCAGGGCGCGTGGGGAGGCGGACAGCATGTTAAGCACGCAAGATTCCATTGCAAGCCGACACGCAAGACGTGCTGCCAAGGATTGGTGGTTCACATGAGGTGGATGCCGCCTAGCTACTTGTGCAGCGGGTTAAATCGGGTTAAATGAATGACTGTCACAGCGGATTATAAGCGCATGTTGCCATGTTGCGGGTGCCACAAGTGAAGATGGAAGGCTCTATGGGGCCGTCGAACGCCAACCAGGGGGTGCGGGCAACCCAGCGGCCGTACGGTAGCTAATTGAGGCTGGCGACCCACGGTTCCCCTTGTTGTGGACACAGTATGGGAACACGAGTTGTTAGCGGACTATGACATATGAGTGCAAAAATTAGAAATTTTGTCGCCTTTGGCTTGCGGCTAGCTGCCGAAGGAAGGCGCAAGGGTAGTCAACTGTCACCATGCACATAAGCCTTGAAGAAAGGCTACCTGCAAGCTCCAGAATCCTGTAAACATATTGCACTGGAACTTGAAGCGAATACAGTTCACCCTCGTCATGCTTTTCGGCAAATGTACGACTGCGTGTTACTTTGGCGATCTATCCTCCATTCCACTAAACTTCAATGCAGCATTTCAACTTCTTTGTTAATATCTATATACGTAAGGCACTCCACCTATTTGTTTTGTTAGTATGGCGGCCGCCAGCCTGCTCTGTAAGCATAATGCCGCAGAGCTGGTGGGGGCCACGTATGATTCTGTAGGGCGCTCGGCCTTGGTTACCATTCAAGGAGATGGAGTCACAACCTACGACCTGGAGCAGGTGTGAAGATGTCAAGCAGATTCACCTTTTCTAGCGTCTTGCACATTGTCACACCTATAGAGGCTTGGTTACAACGCAATAAGTATAACTAGTTGAACTCTGGCATCGGAATGCTTTTTGGTCTTCTTGCTGCTATGCATCGCGGCGGCGGGGGTGGCGGCTGGTGAAACTCTTTTTCGCTGCACTTGTTCTATTTTCTGACCTGCAGGGCAAACTTGGAAGCGTTCCGCTTGGAAGCCGCGCGAACTTAGAGTTCCAGGCGGCCAGCGTGCAACACACCGTGGATGGCGATGACCTGCCGCGATATAGCGTTGTTGCGAGCGTCTTGCGCGATCGGACATCCAACAACCACACGCTCTGCTATCAGAACTCTAGCAGTCAGCCGCGTGCAATATCCGATGCTCAAGTGCGCATCGTCTTGCCTGGGCCGGCCCACAGCTGCCATATCCTTCACCGACAACAGCAAGCAGCAGCAGGGCAGACCCTGCGCTTGGCCGTGGTGCTCTCAGATGGCAGGGTAGGCGTGACCGAGCCCTCTCCTGAAGCCGCGGGGCCGCTCACAGTGCTGGTCGCCAACCAACAGTCCTCGCCGCGACACGTTCTGGCAGCAAGCTCGCAGGACACCTTGGTAGTTGCCTCCCAGCCAGCTGCTGGCAACTCCGTCACCTTGCGGGTGCTGCGGCTCTCAGCTGCAGATGCCAGCGGTGTTGCCGTCGTTAAGACCGTGACGCTAACGTGCCCTGGAGCGGGTGCCCACGCCGTCCCCACCGGCCTCACCCTCAGCCCCGCCTTTGCGCTGCTCCAATGGTCCAACGGTCACGCAACCGCCGTACACGGCCTGCAAGGAGGCGCCGCCACGCCGCTGCGTCCCAGCGTCTTTCCCCTCTCGGACGCGGTAACCGCCAACGGTGCATCCTCCTCATCCGCCGCACCTCCTCCTGCCTCTGCAAGCGCTTCCAGCCGCAAGCGTAAGAACGCTGCAGCAGCGGACGGAGGCAACAGCCCTGCCAGTCGGCCCCGCGTGCTGTGTGCCGCAGTGGACGACCGGCAGTTTGTCGTACTGGATCTGGAGTCCTCGGCTGCGCAGTCGCAGGTATGCTACAGCCTCCACGACGCGCAGTTTGGTTGCCCGCTGTCCTCGGGCACTGTGGAGGTTGACGCGCCTCTCCTCAGCCTGGACGCCACGCAGTGTGCGGTCGTGGCGGCAGGGCCAGAGGCCATTATTGTACGACTAGGAGGCGCCGTACACGTCTTGCATGTGCAGTCGCAGCCCGTGAGCCTCCTGTCGTTAGTAGCTCGGCTGTCCATTTCCGCTGCGGCCGCTGCCGCCGCTGCGTCAGGGCAGTCTAAAGCACCCAAGGCGGGCGGTCGTGGCGTGGCGGCGGCGTTGGTGGCCCTGCCGGCCCCAGTGAACCTAGACCCGGGGCTGCTGTCGGGGGCAACCCCTACCGCAGCAGCTAACGCTACTGCCGCCGGCGGCGAGGACGAGCCCGCGGACTTGGTACTTCACCCCGTTCCCGCCGCCTCCGTCAGCCGTCAGGAGGACATTTGCAGCTCCCTGGTAGACCAGCTCTCCGCAGTGGCGCCGCCGGCGGCTCCGTCCCAGGCGCTGCTAGACTCGGCCGTGTCGTACATCTCTGGCCGCCGTCAGCACGGCATGGCGGTGCCGCCACAGCTGCTCAGCCTCACCGCACGCGGCCTGGCTGCGGCCAAGCAATGGTCCCAGCTCTCCGCGCTCCTCTCCATGGTGCCCCCCGGCGGCCTCTGCGGCTGCAGTGATGTGCTGCTGGCAGTGGTTTCGGAACACGAGTACTCGCTGCTGTCGCGGCTGGCTACCTGCCTGGACGAGGTGGATCCCGAAGCGCTGGTTTCGGCGCTGCAGCAGCTTCTGGCGCCCACCACCCGCGCCAACCTGACGGCCCGGCAGCGACACTACCAGTCGCTGCGAGCCGCCGCGGAAGCACGCGTGGCGGAAGCAGAGCAGGCTGCGGCAGCACAGCAAGCAGCCGTGCATCAGCAGCACCCATCGCGGACGCCACGGGCATCACGAGGAGGCGGTGGTGGCCACGGCAGCGGCAGCCCCAGCCTTGCGGAGGGGAGTCATGCGCTGGCGGTGGCTCAGTGCGCAGCTGCTGCGGTGGACGGGTTCAGCTACCGTGAGGTGCTGCTGCACCCGCTGCTGGCGGTGCCGGTGGACGCGCCGGCGGTGCAGGTGGCGCTGCGGCGGCTGGGAGCGGGTGCGGTGGAGGCGCTGCTGGGCTACCTGGCCAAGTGGGTGCGCAAGTACGCGGGAGGTGCGATTAGTGAGACGGCGGCGTCGGTGGCGCTGCCGCAGGAGCTGCTGTTTCCCTACTATTACCAGGTGGGGCGGGGCGGGACCAAGGGGGTTGGTGGGAAAAGATGAAAGGACTAACGAGCCCGTGTGGTAGGGCGGGTGGTGGGGATGTGTCCGGACGTGCGAGCGCAGCGCATGGGAGTCCATTGTTCTTATAATGTTGTTGTGAAGAGACCTGCTTGAGGGACCATGTCCGTAGTCGCTGTCGGGATTCCAACACAGCGCTGAAGACCAAGAAAAGACACGTTTCAGCTCTGGCAAGTGCGGATGCCCATGATGCTTATTGCTTTCTTTCACAGTTTGTCAGATGCGGACTTCTCAGTTTCGCCGGGACGACAAACGTACGCCTGAGGCATCCCGCTTACCCCTCCACACGCCGATGATGCGTATTGCTTTCTTTCACAGTTTGTCAGATGCGGGCTGTTTTAGTTCGCCGGGACGACAAACGTACGCCTGAGGCATTTAGGCTTTCCCCTCCACTCGTCGTGCAAGCCTTGGAATGCGCATGGTCAACGCATGGAAAGTAGTGGGCCTATCCCCCCCTGCATTAACCTGCACCTCTACGTCCGGCGCGTAAACCGCAGCGCGTTGCTGCGCGGCATGTATCGTATAAACCACGGTTTCACGCGTCTCAACCCTGCAAAATCTCACCCGGCCTCTCCCAACTGTTACTCTTCCCTTCCCTCCGGCAGATCCTGGAGTGGACCCGCATGACCATCGACGCCCACCTCACGCGGTTGCTCATGACGCGGACACCCCTGCCTGCGCTGGAGTCTCTGGAGCGGTCGCTGAGGGGCGCGGTGGCGGGCTCCCGGCGGCTGCTGGAGCTGCGGGGGGCGCTCGAACACATGCAGGCGGCGGCGCCGCTGCCCGGTGCCCACATGGCGGTGGCTACCCAGTACACGGCCGAGGTGCTGGACCTGAGAGTGCGGTGATTTGGAATGGAGGGATGATGGAAAGGCGCGCGGGGAGGTGTTTGTTCCGGGCGGCTGTTGTACGACGCGGGCGGGCGGCTTATGGGTGACGGATTACAGGAGTTGGGGTTGCTATCGCGGTCGTGCTTTCTATGATTTTGGTCGCGTAGAGTGGCGTAGGTCAAGGACACGAGGCTTGTAGAGAGATCAGGGCGCTTTTAGCGCTTGTAGGGTAGGTTAGCAGGATGAGTTGTTGAAGTGGAGTTCCTACATGTAAGGATGGAGCTGCTGTGTCGCGGTTCGCCGCTTTCGCATGGCTTCGGAGTGTCGTGTACACCGCCAGCCAGCTTCCGAGGCTCGACTGCCGTACTTTAGACGAGCAGGCACATCAAATACTAGGTGCTTCGCTTTCACTTCGTAACAGCATTCTTTTTTGTATATGAAAATTGCTAAGGCATTAAGTTAGAAAAAGCGCAGGAAGATCCATTTGCATCCTCCTTCCGTTTCAGCTTTCAACAGTTGACAGCCGCGGAGCATTAAGATGGGCCACTGCTGTAGTAGAGCCCGTAAGTAGACGTGCGCAACAGGCAGCCTATGTCCTTCTGGTTCAAGCTTCGCCCCTCACTCGCAAGGCCACCAACGTTGCGACCACGCTCGCAACGTGTGCGCAGACCCTTGGGTCTTTCGTCGCTATGCGCTCCAGGTCACCATGTATGTTACCTGTGAGCTGTGACAACATTAACAGGCATAAAAGGCATACTAACACACAATAACATTGCTCGCCTTGCTCTTCTATGCTGCTTTACCCCGCTCAGGTCGCCAGCAGTGCGCGCTGGCTCCGCCGCCCGAGGGCTACCACCACCTGCGGACGAGGCGCGGGGCGGGGCCCTCAGGCAGCCCGGACCCGCCGCCGGACAAGCCGGACGACCGCCATCTGACTGCTCGCGACGACATACCGGAGGCTATGCCCGTCCCCAAGCCTGAGCCCAAGCCGTTCTACAAGCCTGACGACAAGCCCTTCTCCAAGCCTGAGCCCAAACCCGTCTACCAGCAGCAGCACCACCAGCCGGACACCCTGCCCTCCCCCGTGCTTGGCTACCCCGTGCATGGCGGTGAGTGCTGGAGCTGAGTGTATGGAGGGCGGGTGGTTGCGCGAGGGGGGCTGCAGGTAGAGGGAGGGGGGGATTGCATTCCCCGGGCATGGTGTAGGCAGGGGCCGCGGGGAAGGGTTCTGTATGCGGCGGTGCTGACCAAAGCAGTCCACTCCGGTATCTCCACTGCGTGTAAGCTCCCCTTGTCCACGTACCGGTATGTGCGTTCCAACTGCGCCCCTTTCTTTCCTCTTTGCCCTCAGGACACCCTCCGCCCGCACCCCAGCCGCCCCACCCGTCAGCCGCGCCGCCGCAATCGCCGCAGCAGCAACCCACCTACCCACCCATGCCCTCGTACGCGCAAACGGCCATCAGGCCCTACCCAGGTGCGTGCGGCTTTAGCTCGGGCGGTGATTACCGCTATCGTTGGGATTGCGTGACACCTTCAGTTGTTGCGCTGTTGGTTCAAGGAATTTTTAGCTGCCAGCTCCAACCACATCCGACGTTGCCCGAGCCGTTTGTACGAGTCCTCGGCTAATGAAAACGTTTGTTGCGTCCAACTCGGCGCCACAGGTGACCTGCTGAGCTAACCTGCCGGCACGGCTCTCGCTTCTCGGTCATTTCGAGATGAGATGACGGAGCTGTGTGTCAAGGTTTCATCGCCGAGTTGTATATAAATACGAATGTTCATCACATCGGTTTTTGCAATCAATAATCCCCAACTGTAACGAATGGAAGATCTCCATAAGAGTTCGTTCGCTAAAAGAGTTCGTTCGTGACGCTGCATCCGTTAGCGCGCACAACACAGCAGCTCACAAAACAGAAAAAAGAGAACAGGTCAGGACTGCCGGCTGAGAGCTTGAAAGGTACTCAGATGGGTTGCTGCGGCTCTACACCAAGTAAGCACAATTTCTTTTGTTGCGGTGCCTAAGCAGGAGGCTGAACCGTGGGTCGCTGACCCTCAGCTTCACACAACGCCGAACCGAGCCCAGTGCAGCATAATCCTTAATTCAATATTACTTTAGCAGTTCTTTTCGTTTGCATTTGTTCAGGCACAAACGAGCCGGCGACCCCTGTGCCCTTCAGCGGGTACAGCCACGTCCACCCCTACCAGCAGCTCTCAGAACGGCCGCCGCCCGGATACCCTCAGCCCGCAGGTGCGCTAGCCGGGCGCAAACAGCGGCGTGAACTGTTGTTATTCTCATTGAGGCAAGGCGGCTCTTTGTTTTTGCGGTTATTCTCATTGAGGCAAGGCGGCTCTTTGTTTTTGCGAAACATCGCCTGGTTTGCGATTTTATGTTAGACGATGGTCGGGCTCGGCTCGGTGGTCATCGTGGCTATGATCAGCCGACAGACTCGACACACACCTTAGCCAATCACCTTCAGGCCAATAAGGATATGTGAACCGCAATCCCCTTGCCTTGAAAGGGTCGCACTGCCTGGGTCCACGCAGGAGGAGGTACGGGCATGTCGTACGGTCAGCAGGTACCACCCGGGTACGGCGGTGAGACGTACGGCTACCAGCAGCAGCCTCCCGGTGCGGGTGCGTGTGGGGTCTGTGCATGTGGTGCGTGTGAGGGCGGCCCGGTTGGCCCACCTGTACTGAGCGGGCGTGAGCTGCGCACGGCAAATGGGATGGGGAGAGGGGGCGCGGAAGGGCTTTTGTTCTCCTCTATCGCTTTGTCCTGTTCTTTCCTGCTGCTGCTTACACCACAGCTGTTCCCCTGCGGTCCGAAATGCTGCATAGGTCCTGCCGCGGCGCAACAGCATGTCTCGTTTGCACAGCCGTTGGAGCAGGCATCCTACCAGCCACCGCAACCGCAACCACAACAGACGCCGTACCAGCCGTACCAGCAGCAGCCGCAGCAGCAGCCCTCCTATCCTCCGCAGTACGCACCCCCGCCGGCGTCCTATCCACCGCCGCCACAGCAGCAGCAAGCAACTTATCCCCCGCAGCAATACCAACTCCAACCCCAACCTTCGCCCTACCAAAGCCCCTACCCGCCGCAGCCGGCACCTGCCGGGTTCCAGCCTTCGGGTTACGGAGCAACTTACGGAGGCATGGGCGGCATGGGCCCCGGGGGCGGCATGGGCCCCGGGGGTGTCATGGGCCCCGGAGGAGGCATGGGCGTCATGGGGGCGCTGGGCGGCATGGGACGAGGCCGTGGTGGTGTGGGGGCCGGTACGGGTGCTGTGCTGGGGGGCCTAGGCGGGCTGGCTGCGGGTATGATGTTGGGGGAGGCGCTGGAGAGGGGGCGGGAGGAGCCGGAGGTGCAGGAGCAGGGCCTTACGTACGCGGATACGGGGGCAGAGGATGAGGGAGGATATGATGGAGATGATGGGGGCGGCGATGATTATGATGGTGGTGGTGGGGATGGCGATGATTTTGGAGGCGGGGATGACTTCTGAGGGACATATCGTCTCGGGTTTAAGACTTGACGTGCTTACTGAAGTTTGGGGTATAAGAAGAAGACCCTATCTGGGGGACGGGTGGAAGGCGGCATGTGTCGAAGGGGACTTGCGGTACGGCTGGGTTGCGTTGGTGGTGTAGGTACGGTTGTGCCTGGATGGGGTTACATGTTGGACGGAGGGGTCCCAGCGGGTTGATGCGATTGATGCGATGGAGAAGGCGGCAGCAGCGTAGAAGGTGGCAGCCGAGTGCAATTGTCTTCCAAGTTTACCGGTGCGAACCTAGGCACCCCCCCAATTCTGTACGCATAATACGTTCTATGAAAGACTACTTCCCGGTCCTTGCTCGACGCTTTACGATATGGAAGCCATACGGTCGGCTAGTTGTACTGTATTGGTCACGTGCAATTGCAAGCCAAAGTAGGACAGCCCTCGCAGCGTACACATCCATCTTACTGTTAGGCTTACGCTCGCCCATTGCTGTCAACGGTCTGCGGCGTATGGTATTTCTCGGTATAGCTTTTAGCCAAATTTTAGTGCAAGGCTGTTGCTAGGAAAGAAGCCTTAATACTTTATTTCTTGCTTTTTAGAGCTCTAATTGGATACCATAGGCCCGTTGTGTAGGCAGGTACATTGAACGGCCTACAGGCAAGCCAATTCCACAGGTCCAAGCCTACCACACAAGGGTGGTGGGAGGAGGATACTCACCGTCATCACTTTTCCTAATTTATAAACTAAGCAACTAGAATGGGTTGCGGTGCGAGTAAGTAACAGGGCCAACTCCCGCGGCAAATGCGTAACCCCCGCCAGCTTTTCCGCTTACTTTGGCGCGGTACTTGAGATTTAAGATAAGTCTACCTGTGCCTGCAGGTAATCAGTCGAAAGCCGCGCACGACCCGGCTGGTCACGGCGTGGCCGGTCAGGCTTCGCCTGTAGGTTATCCTCTCCCGCCTCCCGGCGCCTACCCTGGCGGCGCTCCTCCCCCTCCTGGTTCTTACCCTGCTGCTGGCCCTCCTCCGGCGGTCTACCAGACACCCCCGCAACACCCGCAAGGTACGGAGTGCAGGCGGCACCCGTTGCTACCGGTGGGAACACACCGGAGCCGTACGGGAACCCGCTATTAGGGCGCACAGGGCTTGACTGCAGTCACCCAGTAAGGCATGGCGTCAAGTCCTAAGCGACCTTCATGGCCATCCTGGGTCAGGCTTTTACACCACGCCGCCAATTCCCATGCTAACCCAACCACCCCTGCTCCCATGCATTCCACTTCCTCCCTTGCGAACCCAACAGCCAAGCACCGACGCAGCGGCTCCGGCAGCAGCAACGACGGCAGCAACCACGGACACAAGCACCACCCGCCGCCAGCAAACGTGTACGGCACACCCGTGCCGTACGCCGCACCTCCACCTCCCGGCTACGGGGGTTACCCCCAGGGTTATCCGCCTCCTCCCGGCTACGCTGCGCCACCGCCTCCCGGCTACGGTGCGCCTCCCGGGTACGGCGGATACCCCGCTGCCCCCCCGCCGGCCTATTACCCCCAGCAGCAGCCAGGTAGGGGCGTGGCCGCGTGGGCTGTACGGCGTGTGGATGATGTGGATGCGTTTAGACATCATCAGGGGGGTTCGGGCACAGCAGTTGCGTGTTGCGGTGTTTATGATTCCTCTTTTGGGTGGTGTTTTTTTGGAAGCAACCCGCTTGGCGTGGTGCTGTGTGTATGCCGGAGGGCTGTGGCGGTGCGCACGTACGGGGACCACGTGGCCCACTGCTGAAGCGGCGTGCTGCGACGTCCTTCACCACTGCTGCCTGTGGTTGCGGGACTGAGGGCGGTATGCCTCTTACACTTAGCACGTGAACACTGCATGTTGTTCCTTGCCAAGCACTTCCCCACTCGGTCATCCGGCAATTACAGGACAGACAGGGCAATGGCTGCTTAACTTACCTTCTCTTTCCCCCCAGTATCAACACAACTGCGCCTCCTTTGGCCCTCTGCAGTGATGGTGGTGCAACAGGGCGGCTATGGCGGCCACGGGGGGTACGGGGGGTACGGCGGCCACGGGGGGCATCATGGTGGCATGGGAACGGGTACGGCAATCGCCATGGGCGCTATGGGCGGTATTGCGGCAGTGGGGGCGGGCATGCTGCTCGCAGATGCCATGGATGGGGACATAATGGACGAAGGGTTTTGAGCGTTGAAAGGGCTTTCGTGGGGGCTGAGAAGGACGTGTACGGCGGCGAGCTGAGGCTGCCGTACGTTCTGACAACTTTCTGGTGTGATGGTGTGGGCCTGATGACAGCGAAGTGACCGAGCGACTCAGCAATGTACAGATTTGAGCGCTGACGAGGTGTCGTGAGGAGAGGAATGTACAATACCCATGGTGTAGCATGATTGAACGTTAGAGGGGGCCCTAAGCAGGGATGGGTCCGCAGGGGCGCAATTGGTCCTATCACACCCCTTTATATGTTATGACTGTGTAAACCTGCAGGCGTGTGAGTTTGGTGCGACTCGTTTGGTTTGACTTGGTGCTGTGCCGCGTCGCCTGACCTCGTGTACCCCAGGGAGGGTGTGAGGTTTGCCTGTGATGCCGTGCATGGGGTGTTGATTGTGTGTGCTAGTTGTGATTACAAGTACTGCCTGCCTTGCATGTTACGTGACTACATTGCAGCACTGACGTTTCTTTATCTTAATTCTTATGTTTCCATGCGCCTTGCGGGTATGCCAATCGTGGATGCCGTGTTTTGGGTTTCCGGGCCGAATACAACTGTACAACAGCAGGAGCAGGCACGGAAATAGAGGCTATTGCCCAGGCAAGGAACCGTATAGCAATCTGGCAAGGGGGCCCGTTTATCTTTACGGAGGAATGTCGATGGTGTTTGTGGATTGCAGACGCGTGTTGTGGGACGGCCACACCTTACTAAAATAATAAATGTATCGTCTTGAAGGAGCAATGCAGTGTACAATGTTGCACCGTTCACATCTGTGTGTCCCGACCTGCCCACCTGACCACATCGGAGCACCTGCAACTACCGGTGTCCGGAAAAAGAGCCTTCCAGGCCCCTCCCCAGGCGTGCCGTGCGTGTACCGTATGCATGCCTGAATAGCAGGCGTTACAGCAGCCATCCCATCCGTAACAACCCACTCCTCCCTAACCTTGTGATGGCTGAAGCGGCCCCGGCAAGTGCGCGGCACCCAACCCAGGAGCACCCGTTGGCATCCCAGCGGCCTGTGCTACACCCATCAGCCCGGCAACTTGCGCAGCCCCCGCGCCGCCCGCCTCTGCCCCTCCTCCTCCTCCTCCGCCACCGCCTGCCGCACCCACAACAGCGCCATGCAACGTGCCCTCCACACCCACACCCGCTGCCGTCGTCCCCGCTGTAGCGGCCGCCGCCAGCGCTGCATGCAAGGGGCCTAGAAGCGGCCCCATCCCGCTGTGTCCGGAGGGCCCCAACCCTGGAGGAGTGACGTTCGGGGACATGGCTCCGAAATATGGGAAGGGCCCAAAGCTGGCGCCGCCACCACCATTGCCACATGCGGTGTTCCCGCCTGCAGACCCGGCCCCCGGGCCCCCTGCAAATGCTGACGCAGGCACCTGCCCCTGCTGCTGCTGTGGCGCCAACAGCGGCTGCACTTGCAGCTGCAACGCCTCTTGCTGCTGCTGCTGCTGCTGCACCACCACCTGATGGCGATTGCGTGGGTGCTGCACCACCGCTGAGGGCCGCTGCCCCTGCTGCACCCCAACAGCACCATACACCCCACCCGCAGCTTGCTGCTGCCCCTGCTGCTGCTGAGGTCCCTGAGCACCTGGCGCCGCCGCCGCCACCCCCGCAAGGTTCCCCCCGGGCAGCTGCGGCGCCAGCTGCAGCAGCCTCAGCCTCGTCTCCAGCTCCACCACCACGCTCGCCGCCTCCCCGGGCAGCAGCCCCGCCTGCATCAGCACCGTCAGCTGCATGCCCTGCGGCAGCCGACACAGCACCTCACCGCTCAGCCGGGCCTCACGACAGCGCGCTAGCAGGGGCTGCGGGTCGGGCAGCGTGGCGGAGATGATGGAGTCGAGGTCTACCAAGGGGAGAAGGCTGGCGGGTAGGGGCTGAGGTAGGGGCGACGGGTGACCCATGGGACAGGTGGTGGTGGTGGCTGCGGAAGCGGAAGCGGCGGTGGCGGAGGTAAAGGAGAGTGGTGGGAGGGGGAGCGAGGTCTGCGGGTAGCCAGGTTGGTAGCCGGGTAGGGAGGCGAGGAGTTGGCTGGTGGAGGAGGTGGCGGAGGGTCCGGTGCCGGGGTGAGGAAGTGAGTGGTGGTGCAGGAGCAGGTGCGGTTGTTGCGGCCCCGGCGGCGCAGAGAGCGGAGGCGGCAACAACGGGGCTGGTTGCTGTTGCTGCTGCTGCTGTTGGGGGTCTTGCGGCTGCTGGTGCCCCGGAGCGCTGGTTGCCTGGGCCTCCTGGCGGGGAGGCGGCAAGTAGGGGCAGTGGGTAGCAGCGGGGGCATTCATAGCATGTTCAGATTCATGTCGTTAAATCATTGGGATGCTTGGGGAGTCACATGCGCCGTTCAGCACAAGGAGAGCGCGGTTGTGTTGTCACTTGTCAGCCTGTCAGCTTCCCGCCCCATGCACCCCATGCTGGCCTACCTTGAAGTGCTCTCGGCACGCCGCCTCGAAGCTCGTGATCAGCTCCTTGCGAGCCTCCACAAACGCAGCCGCGGGCTTGCCGTACGCTGTACGACACATGATGGGCGGGGTTACGCAGGTGGGGCCCCCAAATGCATGAGTCCGCCTTCTCGCAATTCGACCCCGACAACAGTTGGACCACCCGCGCCTCGTTCGCACCTCCTATCCGCACGGCACTGCAAGGGCACTGCAACCGCCCCAAACGCTGCAGCCCAGTTGTTCAGACGCTTTCTCAATCAACACAATATCGTGCCTGTATACGATGCCGGTACGCACAACCCAACACCGCTGCACCCAACCCAACCCAACCCGGCGCAGACCACCCACCTATGGCCTGCGCCGGCGCCGGCCCGCCTCCCTCGATGTACGCCAGGGTGAGTACCACCGCCCTTCCACCCGTGCGCACGTGCACCTCGTTGGCGGCGTCACGCAGGCTGGTGCGAACCTGGGACGGTTGGGGGTTAGGTTGGGAGGAGTAAGAAGGGAAGGGGATCAGATGAAACGGAGGGCCGCGATGCATACTGACCGTGACTGTAGCATACCATAAGATCATGACGGGGCACGAGGAGGACCGTAGCACATCACCACGTGCACCCGCACCCGCCCGCCTGCACCTCACCTGCGCAGCTGCCATGGGCCCCGTCTTGATGAGTCGCTCCAGCTGCGAGTTGCGGCGATGCGAGGCCAGGTCGAAGCCGCAGTGCTCGCAGCGGTTGGTGCGGCCGCCGCTGAGCTGCTTGCCGCAGGCGGGGTTCTTGCAGAAGGACTTGATCTGGTAGCCCTTGGGGTTGCCGCGGTGGCGCTTGGGCTCGCGCTCTAGGGGGGCGCAGGAGAAGGAGAAGGAGGAGCAGAGGAAGAGGCAGGGGCAGGTGGCAGGGGCAGGTGGCAGAAGGAAGGGATGACAAGGGAGTCAACGAAGGAAGACTTGGGGGGTACAGGCATGGGTTGGAGATACGGCAGTCCCGGCCGCGGTACAGGTATGTGGTTGGGAGCTGCTGCCGAGCTCCTAGCTGGATCCGAGGCGGGGAAGACATGCGGGGAAGGGCGCCCCATACCCACCCGCCTGCAGCTGCTGGAATTTCTCCTCCAGGTCCTCGTACACCTCATGCTTGATGGGAGGAGGGCGTGCTGGGGGAGCTGCCCCTGCTGCAGTTGCATCGTCCGCGCAAGTCCGGCCGCCTTTGCGTTTCGCCTGTTGCTGTCTTGCAGGACTTGGCTGCTCTGCTGCCTGGGGCTGCAGAGCCTGGCCCGCAACAAGCGGGTGCGCAGCAGAAGCTGGCAGAAGCGCTGCTTGGTGGCCTGGAACTAAAGCTGCAAGCGCAGCTTGTAAGTGTTCGGTAGTGAGAAACGAGGGGTGTTGGAGCTTAGCTGCTTCGGCAACGGACGCGGGATCCATCGCGAAAGGGAATTACAAGAATTTTGACGTAAAGGACCGGAAGTGCTCAGTCATGCTTTCGCTAGGGCACTATTAGCAATAGTTCAATCCCTTAGGCGAAGTGCTATCGAAAATTGCGCCTTTGCATTGAAAGTGGATTAATGATGGATTGCAAAAGTACGCATGCACGCCAACCGCCCCAGGTAGCCAGGTTCCTAGCCGGACCTTTCAGGTCAGCGGGTACGCTCAAATGGATGGAGGCTATTCATAAGCTATATAGCTTTGCTCATACTTTGCAGTGTCCGGGTACGCATACACTCCTTGGGCATGGCCATTGCTAGTCTACAGTGCACAATCCGCTGGTTTTCAGCAGGGGCGGAGAAGGATAGAACCATTTGGTACTGGCTAATGTTTTTGGTTAAGCCTGCTCACTATGTGAAACTTTGTTATCCATCCATCCTGCGGATTTGCCAGTCCATGAACCGCACGCCTTGCGCTACTGCACAGCCGGGGCGGTATTTTCCATCGTGGGGTCTGTGAAGGTTTTAGCATAAGGCCGGGTGACACATGCATGCATGCAACGCATTGAGCTGTTGACTGAGTTGAGTGGACCTAGCACCTCCCCATGCCATGCCAGTACTTGGACGCGCTGGGGTGGGAGAGTGTCATCCTGCCTTCAGGCTGGCTGTCTTACAGTGAATTTCCCAGACCGCCAGATATATACATCCAAGAAACACGACGGGGGTCCTGTATACTACAGTACGAGGCAGATTGTATTTATTTATGATAGGGTACGTGTTGTACCTCTTGGGCATCAAGGCGCAAACCTCCAGCACGCCACGTGCTAAATGACGCATTACCAAAACACCCGGCGCCAGGACAAGAACACCACTTTCACGACATTAAGGGAAAATTTGAATCCACCGGACATTAGGGTAACGAACTACCGGTATAAGCTAGCCAACGCATTGTACACAGTTTCTTCTCCGGTCGCTGGATGACAAGGGCTGTGTGAGCACCGCCCTAACCAACAAACCCACAACCAACTGACGCATCACAGCATAGCATTAGGGGGCCACGAAAGCGCAGTAGACGCTGTATGCCGGATGCGCAGCTTATGCTCCTAATGCATCATCTATTCGTCCTAATCCTTTAGAGGGCATATCCCTTAAGAGGCTGACTGCGCCCACTATGTCATCATCTGCAACGCAGACTTGTGCCATGCAGGCACGGGCAACCGCAGCAGCGCCAAAAAGGAACACTCCACACGCAAAACCACCTGCATACCCCAACTCAAACGGCAAACCACGCTCGGCAGCCACACATCCCTTCAACTGCCACCCTCCTCTCCGGCCCTCCGAACACCAAAAAAAGACAGGATTTATACAGCAGCAGCGACGGCAGCAGCAGCATTTGCAGCACAGCGACGGTGCTCAGCCATCTCTATTCCACGCACACCCCGTCGTCGCCTAACTACTACACTTCTTATGCAATAGCATCCACGTTATTATGGCCGCCTGTGGCAACGCCAATCAAACGGAGCTTCCTATCTCCCTCCTTTGCACAGGAAAGGGTTGCACTTCCATAATAGTGTCGGGCCTCAGGGCAAAGCGTCCTGGCTTTTGCCGTAAAGCGAGGCCACGCATAGGCGCAAGACCTGTCGCACACAGTTGCCCTGGAGGCCAACCCAAGTGGCCCTCTCTCGCCCGCTGGCCGTGTGCAAAATGGCCCGAGCGCTGCCGTCCTTGGTTGGTCCCGCTGACATTACCTGCCCCTCAGCGCTCGCAATCTCGCATACACTTCACATCCAGCAGGGCAACGGCTGCCAGTGTAGGAGCTTGCAGAACAGAAAGCGACAACAGAGGCGACACACAGCCCTCTTAGGGATAAACCACCCCAACAGGCAATACGTATGCCACAGAGCCACCAGCCTTTTCCGTGGCCCCCAGGGAACGCGTAGCAGACCTCCTTTGGTAGACCCGGGACTATGCCCCCCTGACCGTCACACCCCTCAGCCATCGCGCATGCTCTCAACGCAAACAGCAAAGCCCTACCGCACCTGGGTGCTGCAACGGTTGCACCGCCCCTTGCATGCCAGCACGACGTCTCTCCTCCTCGACTCACCGCTCACTCGAAATGCCTCGCCTCATGAAGATCTGCCTCAAATGCATGCATGCATCTGTGCATGTGGTGCGATGCACACGTCACCCTCCCGCACAACCCCTGCACGCTTGCACAACCTGTTGTCTTGATCTTTGGCATAACGCCAGGAGCCAACGCAGTCTGCCAGGCCCAGACCGCCTCTCTGACCACAGCGCCCCGTAGTGCATGTGAGACCCAAGCTACAAAGAACCCCAGCATGTGCCTGAGCCCTGCTTGCCCCCCGGTGACATAGGCACACCCATAGGTCGGCTATGGGCCCAGCAGTTGATATAACACACATAGGCCGCCCTGTGACAGCGCCTTCTCCCATAGTGCACCAGGAGAGTGTGAGTTCCACAGAACATTCAACTTCTTTCTCTCACACATACACACCACGCCCCCTCCACGTACGTACTTTGCGCACCGCCTCGCACACCTCCATCCGCCTCACCACCATCACGCCTCGGCAACACACGCCACGACTACAAAACCTGCGCATACCCTGCCGTACACCTCCTCTCTCACTTTTCACATTCCTTGAGGTCCAGCTTGTTGAGCAGGATGAGGAAGCGCTTCTCGCCCGGCACCGCCCACACGAAGCCCAGCTCCGCGCCGCCAGTCACCGGCGAGGCGCCCACTGCGAACACCAGCAGCTCGCCGTCCACCCAGCGGGGGCTGCGGGGGGGAGGGGAAAGTGTAGAAAAGTGCGTCAACGGAGTCCCAATCCCGAATGCAGGGCCTCGTGTTGCTTGCCAAGGGAAGAGTCGGCAGCAGAATCGACGCCAGCCGGAAACAATGGCGCTTAGAAACAGCCAGGAGCAGCCCCGGCCCAGCCCGCTCCACCTCCCGCTCCTCCTCATTGCTTCACACAGGTCCCGCCCCTCTCAACCCCCTCCCCCCCGCCTTCCCGCCCTCCTCCTCACCTCTTGTATCCCGCCATGGCGACTCGCCCCTCGCCCTTGTACCTCGCCACCACCCCCAGGTGCTCCGGGTACACGTCCCGCGAGTCCAGCCGGTGCCTCCGCCCCACCTTGGCGCGGAAGGACAGCTCGCCCGCCGGCACGTTGGGGTCGCCCGTCACCTTGGTGCCCACCACCTCTTCCTCGCCGTCCTGCACCACGCGGCTCAGCTGCAGCAGCTCTGGCCCGTGCGGCCCGAAAGCGCCCAGGTAGAGGCCGCAGAAGGGGTCGGAGCGGGGCAGGTCGGTGGGGATGCGGGTGTAGGCGATGCAGGCTCCGCCGGCGGGATGCTGGGACTGGGAGGGGGAGGTAGACTGCGATGAGGAGGATTGCTGCTGCTGCTGCTTGGCTGTGGAGTTGAGGGATGATGGGGAGGAGGAGGTGGAGGCTGAGTTGGAAGGGGATTGGGAGCGCAGTGCGGCGGCGGCTTTCTGTGCGGCTGCTGCCGCGGGGGAGGGCACGGAGGCGGTGGCGGCGGAGGAGCCGTCCGGCGCCAGCTCGCCGCTGAGCAGGCGCTGAGCCAGGGAACGCAGCGCAGTGGCCAGGTGCTCGGGCGGCACACGGCGGCCCGCACGGGAGGCCTGCGGAGGCGGAGGAGGAGCGAGGCACATGAGGAGGAGGGAGGCACATGAGGAGGGGGAGTAGGAGGATGAAGTAAAGAAGGATGTGCGTCCGGGTTGGAGCAAGGGATGTATTGCTGGCAGTAAGCTGCAAACCTACAAGGCGGGCACTGCAAAGTGCCCATGGCAGCCTCTCCCCAGGGCTCGCGCGCCCCCTCCCAACCACCGCACTCCTTCCTGTCCCCTACCCCACCCACCTGCAGCTGCGCCACTCGCTCAGCCAGGCGGTCAAATGTGTCCTTGCCGGCACCGCGGCCCGCACCGCTGGCGGCCGAGCTGCTGCTGCTGCTGCCCGCCTCCGCCCCTGACGCCCGCCGCTGCTGCTCCTGCTCCCGCTGCTGGCGCATGAGTCGCCCCACCGGTATCTCAATCACGATGCGCTGCTCCTCCGCATCCGTCACGGAGGTAGCCACAGCGTCCAGGCTGCCTCGCCCGGTGGAGATCAGGTCCAGAGACACCTGCACCGCGCTGTCATCATCGTCGTCGTCCTCGTCAGCAACAAGCCCCGCCTCAAAGCCCCCTGCTAGCGCCGCCGCCCGGGCCGCCTCCGTCGCTTCATCCACGGCATCAAGCAACGTCCGCCGGCCTGCTGCACCCCGCTCCTCCTCACCATCCTCCTCCGGCTCGGGCAGTTTGACCTCCAGCTCCATAACAGGTACATCCGCTGCTGACGCTGCCGCTGCAGAGGACGTGCCCGCACCCGAGCCCGACGCGCGCCGCTGCGCCGCCGCTGCTGTCCCCGCCTCGCCCTCCTCCTCGTCGTCATCAATCGGCACCGCCGCCCAACGCGGCAGGTCAACACCGCTGCCGTCGGCGGCCGCGCCACGACCTGTCGCATCCTTGGGCGCGCCAGCGCTAGTGCTGCTGCTGCTGGCAGCAGCCGCAGCCGCCTCCGCTGCGGGCGCCTCCAGGACTGAGAACACGAAGCGGTCGCGGCCCTGCATGGCCACCTGCGCTGGCACGCGGGTTAGCTCGGTGAGGATGTCGTCCTCATCGTCCTCATCGTCGTCGTCGGAGGCGCTCTGGAAGCCCTCGGCGGATGGGGAGGAGGAGCCGCTGTTGCGGGCGCGGGAGAAGCGCTCCGGCGAGGCGGTCAAGTCACCCGCCTGCAGGGAGGTGTGGGGCAGGAGGAGGAGGAGGTGAAGTTGCGCTCCATGAGGGCAGGGAGAGGCATGCAGGAGGGGCTCGTGTTTGCACCCTAGGGGCTTGCAAAGGGAAAAGGGCTGCTGTGCACACCGGGGTCTCTGCACCCTTTCCAACCAAAGGACCCTCAGGATCTCCCGAGCTAAGCCAGCTACAGCTCAAGGTATTCAGTGCCACCCCCGACACGTCCCAGCCATCCCTTCCCGGGCCCCACGCCGTCACGCCAGCCGCCACCCACCGCCAGCGCCTCCATGGTCGCCCGCATCTCCTCCTCCTCCCAGCTGCTGAACTCCGACTTGACTGGCTGCGGCGGCAACACGCTGATGCGCGCGCTGCCGTCACGCGACACGTGGATGCTCAGCCGCACCACACTGGCCGGGTTCAGCTGCGCAGCAGCACCCTCCGCCTGCGCCCCCTCGCCCGCAGCGTCCCGTGGGTCACTCGCAGCCGACGGCGGCCGCAACGCCACCGCCTGGTGCACCAACCTCCCAGGAACCAGCGGCTTCTGCTGCTGATCTCCAGACCCGCTCCCAGACGGTTGTTGTCGTACAAACACCTCCAGCATGGGCGTCCCAATGGTTCCCCCGCCCAGTCCTGCCGCACCCTCCAGAACACCCCCACCCCGCCCTGCACGGCTGCTTCCACTGCCGCTGCCCCGTTCCACTCCCCGATCCAGCAACTGCACGAGCTTGTTCTCCCGCCAGCCGTTCATGGCCGCGATGTCTCGTGCCATGTAGATGCGGCCCGTCCAGCGGCCGAACTCGGGCTTCACGTGCAGCAGGTGCCCGTGGAAGTCCTGCGGACCGTCCCTGCCCGCCCACCAGCCCGCCAGCCCCACCAGCCCCCGGTCGCGCAGCTGGGCGGCCTCGCCGTAGTCCTCCGCCGCCAGGGCATCCTGGTAGCAGCAGGGGAGGAGGAGGAGAAGGTGGAGGAGGGTAAGAAAAGGGGCGCAGGAGGGTGAGGGGGGATGGGGATGTGTGTGTGAGGAGGCGCAGTGCGGTTGCCAGGTACGGGTACTGTGCTTGGAGTGGAAGGCAGCATGGGGTGTTTGGGATGCAGGCAGCTTGCGGTGCCGTACCTGCAACTGCTTTTGGACTGCGGCAACGGTGTCGGACGCTTGGATTTCCTGCAGCTTGCGCTTGTGACGTGCGGCGTCGCCGTACCGCTCCTGCCGTACGGCAGTGTTCAATTCCACCTGGGGACCCCGCGAGGGAGCAGGAGGAACGGCTGGTGAGTATAGGCGTCGAGCTGTTGGCGACCGTTGTCGAGCCTGTAAGTGTTGACAGACAGTAACCGCCAACCAGCACTAGGTACTTACTGGACATTACCTGCCAACGCTCCCACATGCCCGGGATCTGCAACCATGCGCCTAGCCTTGCACATTGCACACTAGGTGGCGTTGATCAGGACACATACATGCCCACAACCGACTTGCCTGGTAGTGTGCGGCATCCTCTGCAAGCTCGTCCATGTTATCAAAGTGCCGGAGCCATTCATCCCAGCTGGAGTGGGGGCTGCTGGGAGGCGCGTCCCCCGCACCCACACGCTCACGGTCGCCTTTCAGGGGCACAGCAGCACGTGTGGGTGGCTCATCTCCAAACTCAATTTGTCCGTTTGGATCGCGGACCAAGTTTGGGTTCAACGCCGCAGACATTCCCTGTGATGCGACGTCGGAGGGGCGAGGAACGTTCGAGGATGTGGGAGGAAGGACTCAGGTGGCTACAAGGTGCCAACTGACAGATGCCTGGTTTGGCATAAGGTCAAACGGCAATCTAATTATTCATGTAAGAGCTTAAAACACACCTGAGAGCCGCCGTCGGATAGGGCTGCGCGGCATGGGACGTGGCGTGTTGTCAAGACTGGGGTAACATGACGAGTAGGTACCAATAAGCATGGCGTCCGATGATAAGATAGCACTGTTGCACAGCCGCCAAATGCTCGGCCAGGAACTGCTGCCGAGCGCTCCATGCTTTCAATGCTCTACGCAACGAGGTGGCAAACGAATCTCCTGGTAAGTAAAAATTGACCATATATCAAATTACGAGGTTCTGAAGGAATAGCCATTCCTTGAGGAGGCCTGTTCCGAGAAGATAGAGTACTGCGGCTTATCGGCCATGCTATCAAGGAGACTGTCGCATCCAAAGGTTGCCGCAAATGGGAGCAGCCTACTCTCTTCTCTTATCAATTGCTACAAGAATGGCAGTCGCATAGGATCCTTATCGTCTGCACGAGTCGGTGGAGGAACCCAGCGTCTTTAGCTCACCCTATGAAAGCGCCGTGACAGTAAGCAGTCGATGCTTAGTGGTAACAAAACTACAGTTGAGGATTAATCAGGTCTTGCTAGTAGGAGCTTGGTAGCGTGGATAAGCTAGAGGGCCATCCTTAAGACAGAATACAGAGAATATTCCTGACGCACTCTCTTACAAGCGGGTGTACGTTTGTGAAGCAGCCCTGCGCATCGCTTTCCGCGTAAACGCCAAAGACCTTTTCTTCAGGCCGATGTACATCTCTCGTACAATCGTTACTCCGTACATTTCTCATTCCGCTATTCTCGACGAGCCACCAGGACATATTAACCAACAACTCAAGTACAATAACTCAAACTTCAACTTTGGTCGACCTTCAGTTGCAAAACAACCTGCCCTGCATAAAGCATCCTCACGCTTCCGCAACCGCCCCCGCGGCGTGGCCAACAATAGGCGCGCTGGGGCCGGCGGGGTGCACACTCAGAGCCTCAATGACCAGCGACGCCACACGCGCGGCGCTGTTGTGGTTCTGCCCGGTGACCAGGTTCTTGTCGCGCACGGCGTTCTCAGCATTCAGGTCTCCCTCGCGGACCTTGGCGCCCAGCTCCTTCAGCTTAGCCTCCAGCTGGAACGGCATTGCGCCTGAACGGAATGAAAAATGGTTACAATCCTCAAGCCCTATTCACCGACAGCAAACTCCTCCCAAGGACCTGCGCCTCACAGCAGCCTCTACGTTATCTACATCCCCAACGCACTATCAGCGCCGGTACTTCCCATGCCCCTACATCCCACCTGCAGCCCCCGTCTTGTCCTCCTCGGCCTGCGTAAAGCAAGCCAGCGTCTTGCCCGCCACCAGCGGCTGGCCGTCCTCGCCCTTGACGTCCAACAGACCCGCGGGTCCGTGACACACCGCGGCGATCAGCTTGCCTTCGCGGCCAGAACAGCACGAGGTTAGCGGCAAGGCGAGGGCGGCAAGCAGCATTAAAGCACTTTACAATGCCGTACTAACTCTTGCCACGCGCAGTGTAGCAACTCCAAAACGCCCCTCGCATGCACGGTTGATCCTCCTTCGGCCCCGATGCTGGGAGTCTAGCTAGGCGCACACAATGGAATTTCTGTTTTCCCCACCGCCCCGCCCATTCCCCTCCCCCCTCACCCTTGCTTGCCGCCGCCCCCACCACCCTGGCCAGCTCCTGGTTGCCCGGCATGTCGCCCATGGCCCCCTGCCCTCCCGCCAGGAACACGCAGTCGTACGCCTCGGGCTGCTGTACGGCAGACAGCGGCACGGAGTGGCGCAGCTGCAGCATGGCGGCGTCTGAGGGGCGGGAGGGGGGTGATTAGCGAGGAGGCGACACGACTTCTTAATAGTCTCAGCCGCCCTACCGCTGAGACAGAGAGGTAACCCCGTAATAATGAGCAGAGGAGACGAATGGGAGGTGCATGGGAAGGCCAAGGTAGCCTAACCAAGCCTATACCGGTACCCGAACCCCGGTAGCCCCGGCGCCCAGCCCGCCCGCCCTCGCCCCCTGCCTACCATCCGCCAGGAAGGTCGCCAGCTCGGGGTGCGCGCCGCGCTCCCGCTCCCCTAGCCCCGCCTGGTCCACGGGAATCTCCCCGCCCGCCACGCTGCTCAGTGTCACGTCGTAGCCATTGCCGCGGAAGATGTAGTACGGCACCGCGACCTCACTCAGCCTGGGGGGAAGGAGGAGGAGGAGGAGGAGCAGGGATGTGGATGAGGAAGGCGTGTGGTAAGAAACTGGCCGCGAGGGGTGTGCGGGTGTGAGTTGGGAAGGATAGGTGAGGCGAGGAAAAAATGCTGCATCATGCGTTGATGCCGCCGCCGGCGGTGGGAGCGACAACAAAGTATGCGCAACGGTAAGTAGGAACGCAAGAGAAAGGCTTGATAATAACGTTGTTGTTGCAAAGGAAAGGCCAAAGTCGATAAGCGCAGTGCTCCGAGAGGCACCTTAAGTCGCATCGAAAGGTTCCGCCACCGAAAGTATGCTTAGGCGTGCCCGCTCGCTTCCTTCTCTATGCAAATATTTTTCCATTTCGAGGCACCAGCGCTCTCGGCTGCTGCAAAGCCTCACCAGACTCCGGTGTCTTTCCGCTCCCCCACGTGCGAGCAGGAGGTGCAGATCATGAGCACCTGGCCCTTGGCCAGCGCGTTCTTCATCAGCTCGTGCTCGTGCATGATGACGAGGTGGCTGAGCTTGAGCTTGAGTTTTGCTTTGGTAGGTCGAAGAAAAGCGAGCGGGGCGGTTCTTGTTCTTGATTGATGGTGCCTGGCGATGCGAGTGTGATAAAGGCGTGATCTGCGACCTCTTTGTGTCGGTGCCGGTGTTCCCTTAGCGAAGCGGTCCCACGGGTCGCTCCCGAAAATGCTAGATCTAGTCCTAGCTTGGCAGTTTTGTCTAGTTGTGGCAGCTTCAGTCTCGTGTCTGGATTTGCAGCTGAGACGTTGTAAAGCTGGTGTGAACAATGGGGCGGGATTGCTGGAGAAGAGTGCGAAAATCCGACCAGAGCAGTACGGGATGCTTCCTTCGACGATGAGAGGCGCGACAGAACAGCTTGATGTCAGAAACAAGTCCAAAGCTGGCAGTCCCAAACATTGTTACAAGCAGATACACCTCAAGTTAGCAAAACATTTCAATAACGTGCGTATCAGTGACTATAAAGCACATGAGCAGCAGTGCCAAGGCGCCAGATGCTGAGTCACCACCCGGCGCGAAGCCGCCGCTGTGGGCTCGGCCTCCTTCGCTGCGCAGTCGCTTGATACCCTCACTCAAACAGGTTTGACAACCTTCTTCACATTTCTCTGAATGAACCTGCTTTTTGGCCGACGGCGAAGAAAGGGCGCGCTGCATGCTTGTTCCGCGCAGCCTATTTTTGTCACTTCCTAACACTTCCTAACACCGGGCTTCCTAACATCTTTCTACTGGTAGCGTACTTCTAGCACAAGACCTTGTTAATAATCCTAATCGCCTCCTGCTCCTGGTTTCCTCCTCAGGAGTTCATCCTGTCAGATGGACAGCTCTTCGGCCCGCCTCTGCCGCTGGACGCCGCAGCAGTGCGCGTCGTGCGGGTTGGCGGCGGCTCCGCGCTACGTCGCCTGCCTGGATTCGGGCGGGACCGAGATCGCGAGCAGAGCGCGGTGCCTGCACCTGTGGTGTCCCTGCCTCCCGGCATTGCAGCGACGGACGGCTTGGCGGTGTGGGCGGGGCCGGTGGTCGGCGTCACCAAGACGATCCACGGGGGCGGCTCAGTGCCGGTGCGTGAAAATGGGGTTGGATGTCCGTGACACACGCTAGGGCGTGACAAGGGTGTGCGGGGGGAAACGCTGTGTACCATGGCGGAGTCGCGGGACTTCAGTCTGCTGCAGTTTGATTCAGTTCCTTAGCAACAGTGGTGGAAGCCGGGATGGAAAATGGGTTCTCTGAAGCACACGACGGATTGGAGCACAGCACCCTCCCACGTGCCTTACCACGCGGGCCAGCGCAAACCCTTCCACCGTCCATTGCTCAGCCCCCGTTGCACCCCATCCCACTCTCGCCCTACCTCTCCTATTCCTTCCATTGCAACAACCCAACCGCACCAGGCCGTCGTGAACTTCCAGCTGCAGTACGTCGCATCACCCCACGAACCCGCCACCGCCAGCGCTGCCACCGTCGCCGCCGCCGCGCTGTCCGCCGCCTCCGCCGCCCGTCAGGGCCCCTGGCGACCGGTGCCCGGCGTCACCTGCGACGCCGCCTTGGACTTGGCGCAGCACCTGGAATCCAGGGAGGGCGCGCCAGTGGTTGTGGAGCTCACGTGGCCTGTACGAATAACGACTGAGGCCGTACACCATGAGGGAAGAGGCGGTGGAGGTGGAGGTGGCGGAAGAGAGACCATTATAGCTTCCTATGTACTAAGGGTAGGTGCTGAGGTGGGATGTTGGGGCTGTGTGGGCTGGGTAGGCTAAAAGGACGATGGGACGTGCTCTGTAACTTTGCCTGGTGGTGCAGAGTGGTGGTGTAGGAATGCTCACAGCTCCACGGACCGACCCGTGGTTCACCTAGCGCTACCGTAATTGCCCGACCCCGACCCCGACCCCGGCAGGTGGCTGTGGCGCACATGCAGCCAGGCGGCTCCAGCTCCCTCTCGCGGCGCCTCCACAGCCGCCTATCAGGTCCGCCAGCTGCGCATGCAGGGGCATGCTGCATAGGTTTGTGGGGGTAAAGAGGAAACATCTAACTGACCGTGTGATAAGGCATCATCATCATGGGTTTGGGGGGGTCAAAGACCATACCAAACCATAGGAGACCACAAGTGGGTTTGGGGGGGGGGAGGGGCCTGCAAAGGGAATCCATGTGTAGGACGGACGAACAGGTCGCCGCACAGGCAGGCATGTTGGCCAATGGTATCCGCGCTGCCGCAATGACCGTATGTGTTGTGTGTCCAGCGCCTTTCCTGCTGGCGTACAGTAGCATGGTAATCCTTTTAATTTATTTTGCAGGCAAGCCCTGTGAATAACCCCGTCTTCAACCGTGTCAATCTCCGCGGCTCTTGCAACCCTGTGTCTCGAGGCCAACCCCTTTTTTCATCCTCCACCCACCACCCATGCACAGGCCTGGCTGGCTACCCGGCCGCTCCCGAGCCCTCAGACACGCCCCTCAGCCACGCATCGGCGGCCGGCGGCGGCGGCAGCTTCGCCGGCGCCTCCAGCCGCCGCACCAGCGGCGCCAGCCACGTGCCCTCCCGCACCGCCTCCGCCCAGTCCGACATCACCACCGCCTCCCTGCCGCCGCTTGAGACCGAGTATGTAGCGGAGGCAGATCAGACACGCAGCGCAGCGACGGCGGCGGCGACGGCGGCGCCGCCCCCGCCGCCGCCGGCAACAACAGAGGCGATGGGTGCCGGTGCCGCCGTGCCGCCGCCGCCGATGCCAGTGGCAACGACAGCGGCGGGCGGCGGCATTGACGCCGCCGGAAGCGGCGGTGGCAGCGATGTTCTCGCGGATTTCGTCCCGCTGCGGACCCAGTTTCGTACGGAGGGAGTTGCGGGTATTCGTAGCAGCGGTGACGGAGGTGTGGGCGACCGGCAGCGTGGCAGGAGCGGCAGCGGCAGAGACCGTCGTCGCAGCACCGGCGGCGTTGCTGACGCCGCCGGCGGTACGGATGCCGAGCTGCAGCATGAGGGCGGCCCCGCGCTCAAGGCTCCTCCCGTGGCGCTGCTGCG